AAAAAAAAAAAAAAAAAAAAAAAAAAAAAAAAAAAAAAAACACATCATAGTAAAACCAATACCTTCTCAGCTTCGCATCGAAGCTAAAAGTTATATTTACTAAAAAAGCCAACTTCCAAATTAATTGAAATATTTTATAACTAATTTATCTTCACGAGTTAGAAAAAACTTTATCAAAACAGATTGATGCGCTACAGTTAAACTACAAACTCTTATTTTAATTAACGGCCAGCTTTTAATACTTACCATAATTTTAACGTGTTCATTTATTATTTAAATGTAATTTTTTTTTTATGCGAAAGAATACCTAGTGTATAAGAACTATAGACAAAACATATATAGAGTGCGCCTTAGGTATTAAATATGAAGTCATCATTCTTGACTAGACACGAACAATCTATTGTGAAACAAAATTTTTATTATTTTCCGTCATGAAATTATTTTTTGTTATCAGTATTTCAACTTAATTAAATGAGCCTTATAGTTAGGGTGCCGTAGCCTTTTTAACAATAAAAAAAAAGCTAGATTAATGTTTAAAATTTATATTATTCATAGACAGTCGGATATTAGTTTGCTTTATTTTACACCGGTCCAGATAACAGAAGTACTCGTAATATTTATAATATATAACAGTCGTAATAGAAAAGACATGGCTATTAATAGCTCTTCTTGAAAGACGAGATAACCTGTCGATATCGCAGCACATAAACCAACGTAAATTTAATTGGAGACAATATACAGATCTTCATTGAATCTCAAACAATAAAAACATTTTTTTAATTTACTGATCAACAAAACACATAGTGTATAATTAAATTATTATACAATGTTTTGTTTACATAACCGAGCAATAATTAACTACAATTTATCATGAAATAGCTTTTAGTTTGAAAGTCAGCAAAAGATTTTAGGAATCTCAAGAGTACTTTTGCGACCTCCTGCAACTCGTAATTACCCCCCTGCCTGAGAGTAATTGTGAAGTGGCTTATAATAAACGTATCACTCTGTACATTATGTCTATGCTAAAAACGTGATGAATTCGTTAAATAATATTTTTAATATTTTGTAATTTTTATCATATAATACTTGAAATATTTAAAATGTCTTAAACGAAATAATTATGGTATACAGTTTTCAAGATATATTAATTATTTTAAGTTTGTTTGTTATTATGTTTTAAAATCATAATCGAGTTAACAGATTTGATAGTTAAGACCTGAATAAATAAAATATTTTTTGTAGTTTATTTTTTATATTTCTTTATTTTTTCTTAAATACTTAATAAATTAAAAATTATTAACTGAAATGATAATTCATCTGTTAGTGAAGAAATACCAATGATGTATTAGTTTTTTTCTAAGTAAATTACAAAGCGTTAATGACCAATTTAAAATGTTGTACGCTAATTTTTTTTATTACCGACTTCTATCTACTTGATATTTTATCTGAAGTACGTTGTAAATTTAAAAATAATCATTTTATTATTTTTAGGCTTTAAACATAAGAGCAAGGAAAGCTAAAGCGGCAAGAAGACCACAACTAGGAAGGGATTTAAAACCAGGTATCATCATTGAAAATGTAGCTCATACTAGAAGACGATTGGCAGAAACAACGTTGCTTGCAACAGCCTCATTAGCTCCCGGAAGCACCTCCATCATTGATGAAGCACCAACAAACACAGGAAGTGGTAGTCAGGTTGTTATACATTATTTAAAAAATAATCCTACATTTGCTCATAAAATTTCATTATTACTTTTATCAAAAAGTTTAATATTTTATTTGGTTAATATTAGTAACTAAAACTTTCAAGTTTATACACTTCAAAATATATAAAAAATGATGTGTAAAAATTAACTTCAAACGAGATGAAACGAGAAAAAATGAATAAAATTTACAGTAACTTATCAAATAATATTAAGAACAAAAATGAATTATAATTTAGTTAATTATAAATGTATATAAAAGGATAAACAACTTAAAAATAGGAATTTTTATAAATATAAAACACACTTGCTAAACAAATTAAAACTCTTTTTAATTACAATTGTTAAAATAAATTAACTCTTAATAATGCATTGATAAATAATTAATACTTTTCATCGTATTGAACTAAATTTTAAATTTCAACATCACATGAAAATCATAACTGAATCCACAACATTTACTTTTTTTTACCTGTGGTAGATTTAATGGTTGAATCGTTTAAGTTGACATGTTCACAGATAAATCAAAGTTTCTTCGTATTTTCATTAGTAAGGCTATCAATAACATTTTCGAGTATATGATGTTGTATTCTAAATTCTTTTTTTCAAATTAAAACTTTATCTACCTACTTTAGAACAAAATAGAACATTTAAATATTTTGGAAGTCTTAGAAATCCCCTTTTTAATATGAATAGCCATCATGATAACATTATTTTTGTAGCATTTATCACAAAATTTACAAGTAAGTTTATGTCTTTTTTAGTTTTATCATAAATAAAAATATTATTTTTTATTAGTTTCGGTGTCATTTTAAGGAATGAATTAAGGGAACACACATACCATTACAATTAATTGGTAACAATATTTAAGGGGGGAAATTATTAGAGATTTAGATAATCTACTGCTGAAAAATAAGTAATGAAATAATAACAAAGGGAAACAATAGTGATCAAAATTCTATTTTTAATTATCATTCCAAGTATAATTTAACTTCATACGAATTTCTCAAGAAAATTAATTTACTGCTAAAAAAAAAACATTATTATATTTATGTAAATTTACTGTTATCCATAAATTTTACCGGGGAAATTTACAAATCCAACATCTCTAAACATGAATACTGTACAATAGGTGAATTTGAAAAAGGCCCTAAGTTAACTATCAGAAAATAATCATGTGAAACTAGGTTTTTGAGTAAATTTAACTGTTAAATATTTAAAATGACGTCACTAAATATAAATTAAATTTTTATTGCATTCCATTTTTTTTAAGAACAATAATTGAATATTCTCTTTTGCCTCAAATTGTAAAATCCCAATAAGACGTTTCAGTCCAAAAAATAATTTAATTTAATACTAGGTATTTTTTAATCATTTAATTAAACCATTAAAAACACGTTTACTTTATCTGGAGTTATTTATTGTTTTATATTTAAAAAAGGAAACATTATTATAACTTTATTTCTTTTTTTATGACTTAATTATCATTGAATTATTACTATTATTCAGTTTACGATAAACATTTTACTCCTATCTGTTTTTATAAAAAAATATCAACAGAACTATAAAATTTTACAATTCATACAACATGTATGCGTACATGAAATGTTTTACTAAGTATGAAGATGTTTCTAATCAGTTTTTCAATCAATAGGACGAAGAAGAAGAAGGCGGATCACCTGGCTCCGATGACTGTCATATTTTACACAATGACAAATCTACGGACTTTATTCTATCTACAGTAATAGAGGAAACCGCGTAAGTTTACCGATCTTGTTTTAAAATAATACGTTTGATTAAACCTGCTAAACGGTACTCCTCGAGTTCTGGATAAATATATTGAAATTTTTTATAAATAAGATTTCAGTTTTAAATTCATCGAGAAGAGAATTTAATACTGGTTGCTGTTTTATGTATTTTTTTACATACATTCTGCAGAATAAATTAAATCAGAATTACATACGCTTGATTTCATGTTTCACGTTTGTTCCATTAGCTGTATAGAAATGGATATACTTATCAATTAGCTTGTTTTGTNTATATACTTATCAATTAGCTTATTTTATATTCATTAAGAGTTATTCATTTATTTGTATTTAATTAATCGGTATCGCTGCATTTCGTTTTTCTTTTTAATTTAGAATGGTGGCAACGTTAGCTACTCCGCAAAACCTTCAAGCTGATCCCAATGGCAATCTAAGTAGCAGGCCGCCAAACGTGGATCTAGTTTCTAAGTCTTTAAAACCTGTTCAGACAGTCAGTTCCATTAGTGATAAAGTTGGAGACAAGGTATTGTAAAATAAATGTTATTAATAGTCACTCAGTCTATAATACAACAAAAACTTTAATTAGCTCTCCAACAAAGAGAAGGACTCGGACGAGTCAATGGTGACTACGGACTCCCAAACAGACAGGTCGAATCGCATGACACAGTCACTCGTAAAGCGTTCATTGTCGTCGATGCTGCGCAACTGCTCCGAAGATGACAACTCCAGGTGTTCGAAAAAGGACTACAAGTCGTCAGCAGAAGGTAGCAGTCGATTCACGATATATAAGGTTAACAAAGCGAGTCGGAAGAAACGAGAAAAGTCGTCGGCGCGAAAAGAAAGAAAAGCAACGAAAACCTTAGCCATAGTTCTCGGTAAGTCGTTAGCTTAAAAAGTACATACTCGTTTACACACACAATAGGCACGCGATGTACGTCGAATGAAATATGGCTGTTTACGCTCTTGAAAATGATGTCTTCTAGGCACGCTGTCACTTTTATCTTAATGCTGCAAATATTTTCCGTCGTCGCCTTGCCGACGAAAATAAGCTTAGTCTTTATCGGTCGGCAGTACCGCCGAGTAATAGTCGGAAAGAAACGAAATAAAAAAAAGTTATATTTTCCATTGGCAACTGCGAGCAAAACAACATACCGAAACACAAGGAATTCCTATGGGAGCATAATGTATTGTGTAATGCATAGCGGCACTGTGGTGTTTCATTCTTCCTTGGTTCTTTCTTTTTTCTTTCGTCACAGTACCTGCGCCCCGTTTACATTCGTCAGCGGTTACTCCATGGTAAATTAATACATTCTACAAAATTACTTTTATGTTTCCTAACACTCAGAGGACTTTACTCGAAACATAATTTACAAATGACGACAAACAATCTCGCCATTTGCTCGTGCAAAATTAAGTATTACCAGCTAACCTCGAGTTTTTTTTACGCGGCTTTAAAATAAAACGAAAATCTTTTCCTCGATTTCATTAGTTTTTACTTAATCTACTACAAGCCATTTATTTTTTACTTCAAAGTCAGTTTGCATTAAGCTCCGTGTACTTTTATAACAAATATTATTCTTCTTGAGATAATAGGTAAAACTAACTCACTAGAGAAACTGCAATTTTTATTGTAGGGATTCGCGTTGAAATACATTTTTGTTAAGTTTATTTGACACAAATCGGACATCGGTTTCAGAAATATAACAAGCAATGCACATTATTGGTCTATTTTTACTTCGTATCATTATAGTTCTAAAATATTTTTTTTGATTTTCCCGAGTCTAAGCTCGTAGAAAACCTTTGTAAAAAATACAACTCGCGTTAAGTTAATATCATAAGTGTACAATGAAACAAGATTTTATCGTGAAAGATAAATAATAATAAATTTCAAAAAATCAAACACACGAGTAATTTAACTTACTTACGTCCTACTGGTTCTGAGGTGGAAAGTTTAAATTCTATTAAAAACGTTTCAAACTGAAGTACTTAGACGTAACGCACGTTATCATAAAGCCGAAAGTACTCATAATGTAAAAGCATTAGAGTTGAATAGATCATCTAACATTTTTGTAAGTTTTATCTATAATCTAATAAAACGTTTGCTATAATAACTATCAATCGAAAACTACTTTTAGTAGAAACCCACTAGAAACTTTTGTAGAAAGACTTATACCAACAGCGTTTTGTTAAAGTAATGTATTATTCTACGTCTCTAGGGATTATGAGTCACGAGAGATTCAGTTAGTTATTTAAAGCATAGATAAATTTTTATCTTATAAAAAAAAAAAATTCATTGAAAATACTAGTTAATCATCACATACATTAATTTTACTAACTATTATATATATAAATATAACTTAATAATACAACATTTTCTATTTAATAATATCCATCTTATTTGGATTATGTAGAAAGGGTTTAAAGTGACATTGAAACATAAATTGTACAAAATGAGTTTTTTTAATTGCTCTTTTAGGATTAAAATGTTCTGAGATTGATTAATATTTAATCTTCTAAAATATTTAACAAAATTTCATTTCATGAAAAATGTCAATTAAAAAACAATCTTTAGACAATGGCGAAGTTAAGGTGTAATTTAAACTGATGAAATAATTAAGATGTCCTGATTTTAATAATAAGAAATTTCAAGTAAATTAAACATAATTATTTCACAGAAACGTTAATACCTAAAAATAATAATTAAAAGAGAAACTTTTGAGATTTAAGTGTCTTAATGTATAACAATATTAAATTATCAATCCGAATTTAAATTTTATCCTTAACGCTTTGTTCATTTTATTAACAAATTTAGTTAGTTAAATAATAATAATTGACATGTTTGTAGTCATTTAAAATCATACACTTCGAATTATTTAGAAAAAAAATTTTTTTTTGAAAAAGTAACTTGTTTTGGTTAAATTCTTTTATTTTATTTATTTGATGTTACAATATTTAAGTCTCTAAATAATAAATACTGTTAATATACGTCCATAACATTTATTAAAATATACTTTACTTTTTCTCTCACTTGTTATTAATTATTGAAGCTCAAAAGCGCGTTAGATACATGTTGGCTTTGGCAACCCTTTTAAATTTTTATAATGACGTTAATACAGATGTTCTTAGATCTTTTATTCATTCACAAATGTTTGCAATTCTTTGCAATTTTTTTCCTTGAATTTCTAGCTAAGTCATTCATTATTTTTTAGTTTAATATTTCGTTAAAGTTTCAAAAATTTATTTGCAGTTTTTAAGTATTAAAATTGTTATTACACTGTTTATTTAATATATTGTTGATTCACGAAAATAATACAGTGAATGACAATATTTATGTTATTATTTTCAAAAATACTTTTTTGTCTAAGAAGTATCTTCATTAATTTTTCTGTAATATATTTTTTCTTTCTTAAAAAGATCTTATTTAATAACTTGAGGTTTCAAACATTTTGAAAATAAAATAGAAATCTAATAATTTGTTAGCATAGACGCGTAATGAGAAGATATTAGTTTTACTCTGTGACTATATACACAATTAATCCGATCCTACTGGACCGATTGCACTCAACGAAACGTCAAAAGATTACAATTTTTATTTAGTTAAAACTATCAGAGTTGTAATTTTAAAAAATTTCCCCTGAATCGCCATTGTAAAAGAAATTATCCACCTAAAAAGAGTAATTAATAATACGTAAAATTTAAAACATTGTATTTAGCTACTTATGTATTTATGATGAAAACATCGTTCCCAAAATACGTACAAGTTGGATTATACGCGAACTCATAGTAATTTTTGTGGCTTGAAGTTATATATTTTTTTAATTTTAAATATATTTTTAAATTAAAATTAATATTTTAGTTTTTTTTTTATTGAAATAACATTTTGAAAAGTGGACAAATTATTTCATAATTTATATTGTTTATACTTATTTTGAAAATACAACCATTATCCAAAATACTGTGGGAGTATTTAAAAAAAATTTTTTTTTTAATTTTTAATTATTTCCTAAAAACCTGACTTCTTAAAACCAACATTAGATTTAAACTATTACAATTGAATAATTTAGTTAATAAAAATTACAACATTTTTGATAAATATAATAAATGTTTTTCACAATTTTTTCATATGTGTGACGCAATTATTTACGGCTGTGATTTTAATTACTGGCGACTATCAATCAATATTAATCTAAAATAATAATAACTTCACTATGCTCGATCCCGACTTTACATAACTTTTTTCATTTTTCATTCCAATTTAAATATTTGATGTATACTTAAATAATCCACTTATTGGCCTATTCCTAGTAAAATCACGTTTATTCATATTAATGTCCAATTTAAGATATAATATAAATCATTTTTTTAACAAAAGTTTAGAATCGTTTTTTTTTTTGTACTACAAAATAATAGACATTTATATTTTATTTCTATCCTAAAATATATTTAGTAAGATTAAATTTCGATCTAACAATTAATATCCAAAACATTTATTAGTAAATATTGAATTGTATAAATGAATATCAACAATATTTTTTACGAAAAAAAAAAAAATCAGAAACTTTTTTTTTATAGCCTTTTATCAACCCTTTTTTTTCGATAATTACTTTAGATTCTAGCTCTATTTTTATTTAATAAAAATTCATCACATGTGGCTAATATTATTTAAAATTAAAACTATATAAAAAATATTAAACTCAAAAATTCACAAAAAAATTATTAAAAAATCTCCGGTAGCCGAATATTTCATCATTTCACAAAAAAACACATAATCACTTTATTAAAACTATAAGACTAATTAAAGACATAATAACAATGCTGTGTACCTGCTAATATCGATGTCATAAAAAACCAATTAGCTACCTGTATTTGTAAACCCTTGTGTATTATACATGTTTATTAACTTAAAAAATTGAAACTTTAAGTGCTTATATCTAATAAACAAATAAAGTTATACTAAAAATTCAAATGCCATTTACTATTAAATTAAAAACTCAAACATTTTATTAAATTCAAAATATGTGTTCCCATTTAAAAATACAAAGTTGACACCCTTACCAGGCAAAAGGGATGATCTTAAAAAGTATTACATAGTTAATAATTCAAGAACAATGTGTAACTAAAGATAAAAAAAAAAATGTTTAAATTATTATTACTCTGTAAATAATTGAGTGGGTTATGATAAAAAAATCATCCTGTATATATTTAATTTATCATTGTTGTATTTTAAAATTGTAAAACGCAAAAAATTTAAATTATAAAAGGAGATTTCTGACTTTATTGCGCTATGCATCATTTTTAAAAAATTGATTTTTACGATCTAGATCTACAAGTTGAACTTAAAGTACAACCATAATAATAAAGCGTCCTTGAAATTATAATAATGTAACATACATTTGGTGTATTCCGAACATAATTTAATTTTCAGAAATATATTCAATGATATTACATCAGAGCATTTGAAATAATTATTTTTCGCTTTTCGATGAGTGCCACAAATAAAAAACCACAGAAAAATTGATTAGTGTTATTTATTGTTTATTTATTTAAATATTCGCCACTCTATGAAATACAATGAGGATTTCCTCTCAAGACACCTCCTCACTACGCCATTTGTTATAAATATTTCATCAAATACTTCTGTACAAGGCTATTATAATTTTAAAACGAAACTTTTTTTGGACTTCAACTGCATAAATTTGAAATTATTCAGTTTTACACCATTAAACGATAAATAATTTAATGACGCGTATTATTTATAAATTTAGTTGATAAATTACAACTAAATTTTATAATTATAATTTTAAAATATCAATCTTAAAATTTCAAAAACAAGTTTCCCTGTGAAGTGTCAAAGTAATTTCAGAAGCTGTGAATTATTCTTTGTTAAAAGCAACGGATCACTCAAAATTGTAAACAATATTATGCCATCAACTTCAATGTATGGCTCTTTACGTAAATAATTCTCATATTTGCGCGTAGTATTCTATGAAGAACACGAAAATCCAATATGAACTGTTTGTTTTACCTTATGAGTAGAATGCTATCTAAAGCTTAGTTTTGATTTTGTATACTAAAGCCTCGTTGAACCAAATTTAAGTGAGCAATATGAAAAATTACCCGATTCTACTTTAAAATGATATTGACATAACACGAGATTTACTGCTAGTTTATATTGTAATGTATATTTTTAACGTTGAATTAAAACTATATAAAATTAGTTTTGAATTAAAACCAATAAAATATTCACTGTATCTCTAATGAACCTTATTTAATAAATGTTATTTTAAAACTTTTTAATATGGATGCTCAAAATGTACATTAGCTATACTTTTATGGGTTTTAACTACTTTGAAATTATTTCATCTTTATGAATAATGAACACCAATAAATCATAGTTTCATAAAAACTAATTACCGGAAAGTTGCATTAAAGAAACCTTATCGTTATCTATTATACACGTCATTGCAAATGCTTTTTTTTAATCAGTTTTTTTTCCGAAAGAGCTTCAATACTTCTATCTCACTAATTCAAAAAATCTTTAAGATATTTTATCTCTATGGATTTGCAAGGCTAATCACCAACGTGTAAAAAGTTAAAAGCTAAGTTAGTTTTACTTTATGCGTTATGTTAAAAAGTTAAGTTAAATTAAACTTTTTAGTTTAACGATAATATTGAGATTTTACGCTAACTTAGTTTTGAATAATATTATAAATATGATAAAAAAAATGTTTAATGAGTCGTCAAATTTTTAAAAAATTATAATTATTATTGATAGTTATAATATTAATAATGATAAATACGTTTAATGATTGTCTGCATTGCAAAAATGAGTATCTTGGAGTAATTTGAAATTATTTAAGAGAAAGAAAATAATACGTTATTTTTTTTTAGCTTATAATATAAATAGGTTTCTAATAATAAACTAATTATCTCAATAAATTATAGAAATTATTTATACTCAAAACTTAAAATTTCAGTCAAATTAATTTTTATTTTAATTTTGTAAAAAAAAAATAATAATAATGAATCTACTTAAATATTATCCCGATATCGTTTTTTAAATTAACTTAATTTTAATAACTATTTTTACTCTTTATCAAAAAAATTATTTTATTAAGGGAAATAATGATTTTTTTTATCTGTCATTCTAAATCGAAAAGTCAATAAAATAACTTAAATATTCCTATTCACTTATAATTTATTTTAAGTTTTTTCAGATAAACGATTTACTGTCAAAATAAATATGATCCACGCGGTTAAAATATTTCGATTCTGTAATCTCTATAATAAATCTTACATATTACGCACATACAACCAACTTGATTTTTCCTCAAATAGTACTCAATCAAAATTTGTACTACACATTTGTATCTGTATTCAATGAAATATTAACGATTTTTTAAATTTTCGTAGAACACTAAATATTTTTGAATATTACCATTGATGTAATACATAAAAAATATGTATCAGTGAGTGATAAATTATAATGGTATAAAATAAAATTTAGTATGTATTGCATTCATCAATCGACAAAATGGTCTTTAAAGTCTACCAATAACCTATTTTAAATCGTTTAAAAATCCACGCACATCTTCATATGATCCTGTTGCAATGTTCGCCATCCAACCAATGGCTTTCTGAGTTCAGGTCTTTTAAGTTTAGGCTATTAGGACAATTTTTGTTTTATTCCTGAATTGATTTATTGTTAATAAAACACTTGATGAATTTTTCTTAACGATTAGTTATGACAACAAAAATAACAATAAAGTTGTTAGTATTAACTTCATATTGAAAAATATTTTAAATAAAAACCCATTGAAAATGCGATAATTATTTGTTTATCTTTTCGGAATAAATTTTAATTGACTTTTATATTATAATAAGAATAGTGTTTAAAAAATAAAGAAGTTGAAAGGTTAATCTACAAATGACATCCAAATCCTCATCTTAAAAATATTATTTTTTTTCCTGTGCAATAAGTAAATTAAACCGTGTTTTTGTTTCAGGTGTATTTTTGTTTTGTTGGGTTCCGTTTTTTACGTGCAATATTTTGGACGCAATATGCAATAAATTGGAAAAAAACTGCTCCCCAGGTGTTCGAGCGTTCATCTTAACTACGTGGTTAGGATACATGAACAGCTTCGTTAACCCAGTTATTTATACCATATTTAACCCAGAATTTAGAAAAGCATTCAAAAAATTAATGAGAATTGGAACTTGACCCGTAGCTGATGGCCCAGACAAAAGTATTACAAATGTTAGTCATCATTAAATTAAACACATTTATGTATTTTTGTCTCTTGGCCGTGTAAAACTCATTTAATTCAATGCTATCAAAATCACGGTACTTTAATATCAAATTTGTAACTACACTGTACTATTAATTTATTATAACTTAACCTAAAATTCTTGTAAAAATTGATATAAATAAAATTAAAAAAAACTTTTCAATTTGTCTATGTACACATATTTTAATTTGGTAAAAATATTTTATTAAATCACAAAAATATTATTTGCGTTTTTAATAAAATAAAGAAAATAGTTTTAATAATTAAAAATTAATTAAAAAAAAAAAATGTTAAAATAAATAACTATAGTACACGTTATTTAGTTTTCAGTTTTAAAAAATAATTTTCTTTTTCTGTTTTTACAAACTCAAATATTTCATGGTATTTATTGTAAACATAATAAAAAAAATTAAGTAATAATATACATCTACGAAAAATAAAATTTGCTTGCGTTTCAATTTTTATGACTTACGATATTACGTTATGTATACATTTGACTTTTTAATTAATTACATCATTACATTCCACCAAAATAATTTTGCTTGCAGAAGTAATATATTGCTCAAAAAATGGTTATTATTAATCATTTTATTTAAAATTGCTATATTTAATGTTTTATTGTACATACAAAACATTTCATTATGGATAAATCATTTTCTTTGTACTTTATATTTTATGGATAGTAATTTTTATTTATTGTTCAATTCACACTTTCTATTATTCTTATGTTTTGCTTTTACCTAATTTATTATAGAAATAAAACTCTTATATATATTTTTTTTGAGGGATATGTATACACATTAATATATACATATGTGTTACCTTTTTACAAAAAATAAAATGGCTAGTTGTAGTAATGATATCGTTATATGCCGCATTTACTTATGAAAAACAATATTTTATGACAGTTATATGGCAACAAGTATTTTAATTTCGATAAGATATAAAAATTACAGTTCTTTATTAATTACAAAATTAATATTGTACACATCCTCCAACAAAATTTAAAATATAAAATGCATAGCTTCCTTTAATTAAATGCTTAAAATGCTGCATCTAAAATCATCGGGTGGCACATAAATATTAAAAAATATGTATTATAAAGTTAAATATTTTCTTTTTGTTCATTTAAATAAAAAAATAACAATGCAAATAAACATTTTTTGATAAGCAAAATAAAAAGTCATAGGGTGGTGATCAATTAAATAATTTGAGCAACACAATTTCTAAAGTTTACGTTAAATTTCACTAATACATATTCCAAATTGGTAACTTAAAAGTTGACTATGTATTATTTTCCATTTTTAATAAAATAGTTTAAATGATTAAAAATTAATTCCAAAAAAAATTGTTAACATAAACAACTATATACACGTTATTTAGTTTTCAATTTTAAAAAAAGAATTTTTTTTTTCTGTTTTTACAAACTCAAATATTTCATGGCGTTCATTGTACACATAATAAGAAAAATTATATATAATACACATCTACGAAAAATAAAATTTGCTTACGATTCAATTTTTACGACATATTCATGTTACCTAATGTAAAAATTTTGCCTGATTTCATAGTTCCTAATTACAATCAAAAGCATACTCTTAAAATAATAAGTACCAAAACTCCCTTTAAATAATTATCTGTTAATGATGAAATTTGTAGAAAATAGTAATTATTTTTTTTATACATAATTTGTTAGTTAATTACATAAATATTTTCTTGTGGAATAGCTAAAAGTAAAATATAAAATTTTTAATTAAAAACTTATTTTCGTTCATTTTAGACTAAACACGTTTTTTTTTTCGAGAGCCATAAATGATTATGATGCAAACGTAGAAAATCATATTTATACCTAAAATTATAGTAATCATAGAACAATAATTAAACCCCTCTATGTATTCAAAAACCAATATTGGCATATACTCAGTATAAATACTTATTGATACTTGTATAAATTATGTACCTATTTAACAAAGCTTTCAATAATATTTTTAATTAGTAGTGTACATATTGCAATTATAAATCATATCAATATTAAATACTATTAAATTTGTTATAAAAATTATAAATTTGACTGTTAAATATTTATTATTTATTTATTAAAAAACTTTTCTTATATCTGATTGTTCAATGAATATTAGTGACAAAAAGAAACTGAATTATAAAAATTGTAAATAGTTTTTTTAATCAAGTAATTTTATGTAAATGTTATTTTAAATATTGTCTAAAATTAAGAAATATAATAAATGTTCTTATTCTGTTAAATGTATATAACTTTAAGCAATAAAGACTATTATCTATTATGTTTAATTTCATTTGTTACAATTCACCTACTGTTACTATATTTATTTACTATTTTCAACGAATTCTAATAATATGTATTTTTAAACATTTTTAATGACTGAAGTTTAAAAAAGTAACGTTAATGTTCCGATTGAATTATTAGTAACTTGTTTAAGAAATTGTATTTTATTGGTTTAAATAATAAATGTTATTAATTTCAATTCAATTAATGTTTAATTTTTGTTATGTGCTTTTCAATCCTTTAACAATAATTAATTATAAAGTATTTATTCTCATGAATAAAGCATTCAAGATTGAACGTTGTTCATACATTATTATTGTTCCTAAAATGTTGTATATTAATCCTAAATATTAAACTGTTAGGGTTACCTCTTTATAATATTATTATTAATCATACTGTGATATAAATAAAATAATATAATTTACATATATGTTTATTTTTGCAGTGTATATATATGTATGTATGTATAAATTAATACCATGTAGAATTTTTAACAACATAAACATGAATCGAGAAGGAGGAAGTTTACACCCTAAAAATTATCGTAGTTCCCGTAATTTTATTTTTTATTTACGCCATAAGTAAAACTATCACTATAATAAAATTGGTCAATAACTATTAAACATTCCAAAAAAAATGTTTGTATAAGAAAACAATTTTTTTACTAAAATAATGATATAAAATTGTATTTATGTTACACTATGCATCACGATTATGAATTTCACATTTTTTAATGTTTGGAAAATTACTTGTACACGATTTGCAGAAAGACTTTGAAATCATCGACCCTTTATCTTTAGTATTTATATTCGAACATTGTGTACATTTATAACTTGTAAACGCTTTGTTATAAACAGGGAAATCCTAGAAAAATATCAAATAAGTTATTAACTCGAATGATACGCTATAGAATAAATGTATAAAAAATGATAAAGGCGTAATATGTATGTTTCCATTTAAAAAAATAAAATTGACACCTTTATAAAAATATAAGGGCTATGACCCAAAAAATATTAAACCAGTAATAAATCAACAAATAAATATTATTAGACAAAGCAAAATTGACTTGATTTCTATGAGAAATTTATTTTTAATTATTTTAAAACTAAATCTCCATTAAAATTTATTTATCTTTAATGAATTATATTTTTTTAAAAGAAAGTATTATTAAATCTTTTTTATTTTCAATACTTATATTCTAAAAGAATCATCATTATATTTATGAAATTATAAGAAAATACTATAAATTATGTTAAAAATTTACCGAAGGACTCCTTCTTTTGGTACAATTATTATTCTTTAAATTTCGTGGCAACGGAGTACTGTACGCCTTAGGTTGAAAACCTGAAGACATTGGATTTTGTTTAAATGAACATTTTTTTTTATTTGAAAAATGTGGTACGGGATTTATTTTATTTCCTATTCCGCTTCCTTCATGATCGCAGGATACGTGTACATTGAGTGACTCAGGTTGTTTTCTAACTTTAGATAGGCTTAGTGCACTTTTGTCTTCGTCACAATTTGGCTGTCTAAAATATAATGCTAATATTCTCTTAAAATTTGAAAATATCCTTTAAAAAATTATTAAAACATGTTAAAACTATTCTTTTATTCTTTTATACTTTTATAAGAATAAAAAAAATTAATAAGATAATAAATTAGTTTTTTGCTTTTCCAAAGTAAATTTGTAATTTTTGTAAAGAGAAAAAATATTAGGTATAAAGACTACAATAATACATAGTTAAATAATTACAATTCAAAAAAGTTAAAAAAGTTAAAATATTTCAATGTATGGACATGTAGTGAGAGCAGAGTACACGTATACCAGTAAAAATGTAACCCTGTAAGGGATGAAATGAAAATTATCTAACTACAAATTATTGTAGAGCTTTTAAAACCTAATATTATTTCTCTTTATAAAATTATAAAATTATCAAAAGTTTCTGAAAAATTAGTGTTTTCTAAATTTGTATAATAGTGTGAATTTGAATTAAAATAAAATAATAGTTGAACTTTAAAAATTATTTTGTACAAATTATCATTGTTTCTTAAAAATGTCTTGTGTAATATATTATTATACAACAACAAAATACATTAAAATTAAAAAAAATTAATATTCTCTTATGTTTTTTTATACAAATTAGTTTATTATAAAATAATATCAAATACGAAAAAAAAAATTCACTATTTATTAAACGCTTCATTATTCATTGAGATTTTAAATCTTCGTTTTTCGAGAAAACTAAGAAAATATGCAAAAGAATAAAATTCTAATCTCTAATTATATATAATAAAAATGTCTGCGATATAATAGAATATACAGTTACTACTATATCGCAGATATTTGTATAATTTTTAAAAAAATATATAAAAACTCGTTATACTACTTAACTAATTATTAAATAATCATCATTTACATTCCTTGGTTACACAAATTGAATTAAATAAATTTTTACATTGTAATTAACTTAAAAAATGTTCATTAAATTTATTTTTTATATATAATATATTCCTTATATACTTACTGAAGTTCACTAATAACTTGATTCGAATATTTCTGTTTTTCTTCTGATTTACTAAATTTAATTTTAATGTTATTCCACTCATCCGACATACTTTTTATTTTAACTAAATGGTTATTTTCTCTATGCTTGAGATTTAAAATTTCTTCCTTCAGTTTTGATTCATCCTAATTTTATTTTTTAAATTTTCATTAATCACATAGTTTCACTAAAACAGTGCTGCAGCCAGGAAATCAAAGCTAAGGACAATCTTTCTACCTCTTAATTTTATTTTGTTTTTTATTAATTAATGATTAAACTACACAATTTTTATATCTAGAATCATTAAACTCATTATTTTGCTGCAGTGCTGCATCTTAAATAAACGTTAGATATTATCTAATAAACATAGTACTGTATAATTACAAAAGACGTAAAATATTGCAAATGATCATTTTTGAATAAACATTGGCTGTTTTAAGTTTTTTTATTTACATTAATTAAAAATACATATGACTTTTTAAAATTTATATATAAATAATAATTTAAGTTGCCGAGTAAATGATTTAATTTTAAAAATTAATTATTTAGTCTTACACAGATACCTTTGTTTTATTTAAATATAAAAGTGATTCTTTTAGACGGCCTTCTAACTCGCTGACATAATCTTCCATGCATTTCATTCGCTTTTCATAATCATTTGCAATCAAACTTGTTTCATTTTTTTGTACACTTAAATTAAATTAAAAATGACTCGATAAGTTTTTATTATTAATAATACTTCATCAAAGTTCACAGCCCAAATTGAGGGTTTAAAGGAACATAATCTCACCAAATTTTAGAAAAACATCATGTGAAATTATAAAGATGAAACATATCTAACTGACAACTCTTGATACAATTAACATCAGTATTTTAATACATAGCGTGGGTGGGTACAGCTCATATTGGTGTTTATTTACAAAGTATACCCCACTCTTGCTACATACCCACTCTATATATTAAAATATTTGTAACGCAATAATTACTTATTTTAAAATTGTTATCGACCCATCAATAATTTTTGTAAGAAATGTACTAAAAACTGTCTATTTTGATGTAAACAATTTTTAATTTTAAAAAAAAATTATTTTATTATTAAAAACAAATAATAAAAAAAAATTTTAACGTAGTCTATGAATGTAAATTATTTTCAAAAAATTACAAGAAAATGTTAATTATATAAACAATTATAAGAATATTTAGTTAGATCTGTTCCACCAGTATAAATAAAATTTTAAAGAGCAAAAGTTTGATATAATAAATCTCTCTGGAAATATTTTTGAAATATAATAAAGTTATTTATATAATTCTTATCATTGTATAATAATAAAAACAAAATGAAGAATTTTGTATATATCTAAATACTCGACATTATCTTCTCTTAATACATTTCGTAAAATTTTATGTACAATAGTTAGCGTTTTTTTCAAATTATTCATTATACCATCAATTTCAACACAAAAGGAATCGACTAATTCAAAAAGTTTTTTTACCTAAAAGAGAAAATTTATATGGAATACTGGTGATTAAATTGGCGTAGTTCTGTTTTAAAAATTATGCTTTAAATTACTTTTGTAGTTAATTTCTGACCATTTGAATTTGAAAGTGAAGAGGTATTAACAACACTAACCATTGAATTTGAATACTCTTTTAAAAGTTTTTTCATAGAGTCGGTTAAACTTATTATTTCGTAATCAGTATCTGAAAATTATGAAAATATATTATTTGTCTTAATGCTTAATGTCGACAAGTACATTGAAAGATATTTTATATATTGTTATAAAACTACCGTGATTTCTATAAAATATTATGTCAACACGACTAAATAAAAGTTAGGTCAAATTTTTATTTTACTTTTTTTGATAGTAAACATTTTACAATTCGTAAATTATAAAGTACTTATTGCACTTAGGATATTGGCATAACTAATATTTAACAAGTTGGAAAGTTTTAAATAATTTGCAAAGTTGTCGGAAATCTAAACGCGTGCGGTAAGTTTTGCTATATATAAATGAAACTAAGTAATACTTGCAGATGTGATTCAGAAAATATTAAACTGAAGATGGCGAGAGTACATTGATTTATATATATATATATAGTAAACTTGCAAAATATGTACACATATTTGAATAAAGTACCCGAAATACTAAAAATAGTAGTAACTCAAATTGATTTTTTTAGAATCAACTTAACCTCACAAAATTTGAATAAAACACAACGTTTTATTATAATGATGTTTTTTAAAAACATTTTTAAGTTTTTTTTAAATATATTTAAAAAATGGGATGTTTTTTTTAATTGATCTATTTAAACAAAAGCTTATAGTAAATTATTTAATACTATAAAACCCAGCACAGGGAGGTCGCGGCAGTGGTGACGTGGCATAGTTGGATCAAGTATAATGATATCTGACAGTGATTAAAATCACTATAAAAAAAAACGCTTCGATACAAATCTTTAGATAGTGTTTAATTTTAAAAAATTGGTGGATTATTCCAAAAGCTACATGATCTGCTAGTTCCTTATTAATATCCTGATTAAGATAAAATATGTCGAATGAAAAAGGAATTATTAAAAAATATTATTTCTCATAAAAAAATTGTGTTGATCCATACACTTTTCAAAAAGTTAAAAATATAAAAAAGAATTTTTTTACAATCGTATTTTTTTTATTAACTTTGATGTCTATTTTCACCATGAAGATAAAATAAAGTCCGAAATTTTTTTTACCATAATAAAGTATATTACATTAGCTTTAATTTAAGATATATATAAAAGTCTCAGACTTTCCGGAACATTTTCAAAAGTCAAGTTGAAAAAATTAATTTTTTGTGAAAAAGTTGTCATTTTAAAGTGTACCAAATGATAGGTAATGATATTATTCATCTACATAAAAAAAAAATATATTTATTTGGTAATTTTTAAAAAAATTATAGCAATTTTAAGTAAAAAAGTTGAAAAAATTTCGAAAATTAGCGATTTTTAAATTTGTAATTTTTTTGTAGGTTTTCCCCATTTTATTTTATTTTATTTTTAAATTATAAACGGGTAAAAAAAACCCCTTTAACTTAATGCGATAGAATAAATACAATAATTTCTTAGTTTAACATAAATTAAATGAAAAAATACAATTTTAACTAAGTACTATCAGATTAATAATAAACAATTAGATATAAACAAATTACAATACACAATTAGATAATGCATTATAAATATTCAATTAGAAGACATCACGAGACATATAGAAAAAATCAACAATGTTTAGAATTTTATTAGCTAACAATAGGACTCGAGGAAAATATGATGCTGAGCTATAATTAGTGGTACAGAAAGGAACATGAAACAGTTTAATAACTCTAAGGTTTATTTGACTAGTTCTAAAGCCAACCATTAAAAGTAACTCTGAGCAATCTACATAACCATTTAGTAAGTCATATAAAAACATAAGATTACTAACTCTTCTTCTAAGTTCACAAGATGAAATACCTAACTGAGTAGAATGTAAATAATATGAATCCTTAGAAAGACTAATATTCAATTTAAAACAGATAGATTTCGTATACTTGTATTGGACGTTTTCTAATAAATTAATGTAAACAGCATAATTAGGGGACCAAACTAAAGAACCAAACTCAAGCTTTGATCTGACAAGAGAAAAATTTAACAATTTTAAAGTATTTTTGTTTTTAAAATGTATTTCTATTAAGAAAACCCAAACTCTTAAAAGCATTACTGACTGACAAATTTATATGTCTAGTAAAGGAAAGATTATCCTCAAAAATTATTCCCAAATCACTTATGAAATCAACCCTAGTTAAACTGGAATTACATAAACTACAGTTAAAGAAAATGGGATCTTTTTTATGGGAAATGATATAACTCTACATTTGCTTAGGTTCAGAGATAATTCATTTGTAACACTCCAATCATATAGTTTTTCAATGTTTAACTGTAATTTAATACAATCACTCATTGAGTTGATAACTGTAAATATTTTGGCATCATCAGCAAACAATAAAATATTTATAGGGGTATCAAAAATACTAGGCAAGTTATTAATATATAAAATAAATAATAAAGGACCTAAATGAGAACCTTGTGGCACCCCAGAGTGTACTTTAATATCATTTGAAACAACTGAGAGCAATTTTACGACTTGTGTCCGATTAACCAAATACGATTTAATCCAATTTAAAAACGAGCCATTTAATCCAAAATATTCTAATTTTAATGATAAGAGTTTATGGTTTACTTTGTCAAATGTTTTTTGAAAATCTGTGTATATTGCATCAATTTGCTGCCCCTCATTAAAAGCAGAAATAATTTTTGATTGATATAAAAGAAGATTAGTAAGCGTTGATTTTTTTTGTCTAAAACCATGTTGATTGCTAACTAGTTGTTGTGACATTAAAACTGATAACTTTTTAGTGATAATGGCTTCAAACATTTTAGGAATAGTTGATAATTTAGATATAGGTCTATAGTTACAAACATTTGATTTATCACCTGACTTATGTATTGGAGTTAACCCATTTTTAAAGATTTATTAAAAATATAATACAATGGTTTAACAAGAACATCTTTACAGTTCTTCAAAAAAACAGGCGGTACTCCATCAGGACCAGATCCAGAGTGAATATCTAATGTAGTTAAGTATTCATAAATCTCATTTTCGCTAATCGACCATTCGTGTAAATTAAGAATATTTTTTGATGCATGTGAGGAAATTGTAACATTTGATGAATTAACAGGTTTAACAAATACACTAGAAAAATGATTGGCAAAAAACTGAACTTTTTCTTCATTGTTTGAAGATAGAATTTGATTATAAGATACAAAATCAGGAATATTTGAATTTTTATTCATTTTTAAAGAGTTATTATATTTCCAAAAAAACTTTATATTTACTTGAATGTTATCTTCAATATTAGGCATAAATTTTGAATGACTTAGAAATGTTAGATGCTTACATTGTTTTCGAAGAGCTGAAAATACTAAGTAATCTGAATAAAAACCACTAATCTTATATTTCTTGTGAGCATATTTTTTACTAATAATTAAATTTTTAAGGTTTTTATTAGCCCATATTGGAGAATAATTTTCATTAATTATAATTTTAGGCACAAGGATAGAGAAAGAGTGATTAATTATTTCATAGAACTTTATTATTGAGTCCTCTAGTAAAACGTATTTTAAGTTTAGATCAAAGTTTATATTAGAGAGAAAATTTGAAATATCATTATAATTACATTTGTTAAATTTATACATTGGTAGATTATTGGACTGATAAATAACATTTGGTACATCAAATTTTATAATTGAATCAAAAGGAGGGTGATATATATCAGCCTTTTGAACTATAGAGTCACTAGGGTAGTTTGACATAACATTACCGTTTGTAAACAAACAATCGAGATGTCTGTTATTAACATTACTTATATTATTAACTTGTTTTAACTTTAAAAGATTTATATAGCAATTAGATATTATAATACCAGATAAATGATTTTGACTTATAGGATCACTAGACCAATCAAATGAGTTTAGATTAAAATCCCCGGCTATAAGAAAATAACTAGCAATGAATTTACGGGGAACAAGGGAATTTTTTTCAATTTTTGTGGGTAATGTCTTTGACTAGATACGATTTGTGATCTTTTGACGTATCATTAAAAAAAATCGGTTCGGTGAGAGCTGAGAAAAAATGGTAACAGACACAAAAAAAAAATAAATAAAAAAAATAAACACATCTTAGTAAAACCAATACCTTCTCAGCTTCGCATCGAAGCTAAAAAAATTATATTATAAATTAAAACATCAAAACTCATAATATTTCATACATCGTTTTAGTTATAATTTAAAATGACAACTTTTTTACAAAAAATTACTTTTTTCAACTGGACTTTTGAAAATGTTCTGGAAAGTCTGACACTTTTATATATATCTTAAATTAAAGCTAATGAAATATACTTTATCATGAAAAAAAAAAAATTCAAACTTTATTTCATCTTCACAGTGAAAATGGCAAAAAGATTTCATCATTATACTATACCATTATACTTGATCCAACTATGCTACGTCACCACTGTGCCGCGACCCCCCTGTGCTGGGTTTTTAAATTAAATTTAATATTTATTATTATATATTTACTAACTGGTAAATATTTAACTTGTTAACCTTATTTAAAAACTGGATGTCTAAAGCCTACAGTTTTTAAACACAAACGTGTATGTATATTAGTGACGGGGCGATACAGAAGACAATATGACAATATCTACACTCTAATAATGCGATCGGATAGTTAGGTTTTATATATTAAATTAAATATCTGTAGACTCGCCCCTGCTAATTTTGTTTTTAGATTTGAACACATTTTACAATAAAAGAGAGAGTCTAGGGTAGCTGGCACCATTTTCAGTGTCTCTCTGACTTTAAGATTTACGCTTCGCAATTACATAACGTTCTCCACCTAATTTTAGTGTCCAATATTATTCAATAACATCAATCAAATAACTTACGTTCACAACTTCTTTTTTCTAATAATTGATCAATTTTATTTTTTAAACAACGCATCGAATTCATAAATACTTCATTATTATTAATGTCGTCCATCAAAATAATAAATATTAAATTTAAAATATTTTAAAATGTATACTATATTTTACTTATAATAACTAGGAATTAGAATCTGACATCAAATATTTTTATTTATAAAATGCTTTACTATTTTGAAACTATGACACCTAAAAATAAATAAAAATTGTATTTTGTATTATACCTACAATTATAAATACAGTTAACAAAATTTTTTAAAAATTAATACATCACCTAAAATAACTTGATTTTTGACAAAATTAAAATTTTTTTTAACGTCTAATAAATTTAAGTGAATTAATACTTATAAAATTGTACTCATAGTATAAAGTTTTATAAAATTATAAGTATAATTTTGATGTTAAGTATAAATATATACACTGGTTTACACGTGCATAGAGGGACACTAACAGTACTATTGTTTGTAGTATATATAATAAGTATTATAAACAGTACGCGACTTGCACTTGCAAAAATAAATGAAGAGCAAAAAAGAGATCATCTAGTCTTTCTTATTAAAAAATCATTTTCTAATTTCTTTTTTAATAAGTTAGACCTGTAATAAAATTAATAAATATAAAAATATTAGTTTGAATGAAATGAAATATTTAATAAAGAAATTTATTTATATGTGTATAACTATATTTATTAATGTAATGTCTTTGCCAAATAATAATTAATCACATATATAATATATAACGTAAGGCTGGATAAGCTTTTACGATTTTTTCTGACTTCTTTGAATGGATTTAAAATTTGAAATTTATGAGAACTACTTCAATATCTAGCTTAACAAAATACATTTTTTCAATCGTCTCTTTCATCTACAAAGGGGATAAATTTGATTTTATCTAAAAATTTTCATTTCCGCCATCTTTCCCCAGCAATGGGATAAAATGACACCATAGATGACTACAACTATAATTAACGTTTACGTACGTGTGTTAGTACTAGTGAGCAACAAAGTGTACCGTAATAGACTTTTATGCTAGTTAGGATATGCTGCTATGTCATAGATGTTGAGAAATACTGATTTCGCCATCTTACCGTTAGTTTTATTCATAGTAATTCCAACATTTAATTTTTGCATTATTTTTTAAAGGGTAACACAATATAGCAATGTCATATTACCTAGTAGGAATCCATAATTATTAACAATTTAATTTAACAGTAGTAAATTATAATCAGTTTCTACGATATAACTTTAAATTAAATAGATTATTAAACTTATCTTGGTAATAAAGTTAATGAAACATTTTTAGAGTTAAATAAATAATCTGAAGAAAAGTGAATTACACGTATTAACAATACTTGGACATAATTATTTTCTAAATTAGTGAATGAGAAATAAAGTAGATTGATATTTTTTTTAAATTTTAAAGGAGTCTGAATCTGATCATTAAACAGACAAATAATCTATTTTTTGTTTATAGTTTACAATCTCTTTGAAACATTGTTAACAGCTACTACCTGATAATGTTGCTATTATATTTAAAACCTTGGTAGTAGTCTAAATTAAAAACATTAAATAGGTATCTGATCTTACATTCGTTTGTTATTAAGTAACAATCTATAATGTTGATCGGCAATTTTTTTCTTAAACTAAATTTTATTGTTTATTATTTTTCTTTGATAAACGAATAATATTCCTAGGGAAACTATGTACTTTACGTATTTCCTTATTTCATATGCCATTATTTGATCTTTTAATTTACCCTTTATATAATTGTTGTCTGTTAACTAATACTAGTGATTATTGGAACTGTTAAACGTACTTTAATCGTCACTTTTAAAATTAGTGAGTAAAATATAATGTCATATAACTTCTTTAATATTAATATTTATTTATTATTAATAATATTCTGTAATTTTACCATTATTTTCCTGTATTTAAAGAAACGTTAAAGTCAAACCACTAACTATTACAAATCTATACAACTTTTATTTATACTGTGAGACATTTTGATTTGCTTTAATTATATTCTTTATTTTAAACGCCTTTCTTTGTTGTATTATTGTTTTAAAAAGAACAAAATGATGCATTGTATAGATATAAAATTATTTGATAAAATACATATAACATAAATAAAAGTATTTACTTTTTTGTACTCAAGATCAATATGTACCCAAATCCTTGGGTTAATACTGCACCACCTCTGCCGCCCTCTACTACTCAAAATATACCCAATAGCTTTGAAAATAATGCTCGTTCATTTCCATTCTATACACCACCCAATGCAATGCAAAACTTAGCGGTAAGTAACAGAATTTTTCAAGTTAAACATATTTGTAATTATGAAACTTAATATTTTAGTTGAATCCACAGAGTAGCTTAACTCTTAACCCTACTTCTGTAAGTATCTGTAGTTTAATTTTAAATATATTTATAATTAATAACCTAACTTTTTAACTTTAAATTCTGATTTTTATTTATTTTTATATGTTTATTTTTAAATTTAAAGAAATTTGTTTTTATTTATAAAATAAAACTGTAATTAAAGTTAAATTTATTAATTTTAAAATAACATTTACAAGTTATAAATGAATCAATGTTTATCGCTCTAGTTTTGTATTACAAACCTGTAGTTATAAGGAGCGTTGTTAAAAACATTAAAAAAAGAACTGTTTAAAATGCCATAAGAATGTTGACATTTTTGATATTTTAAACACATTCAAGACATAATTTAGGTTATAATTATTTATTGAGCTCTAATATAATTTTGTTGTATATTTCATGGTTTTAGATGACCCAACCATTCCATTCAAATACGCTGCCTAACGCCATTGATCCAGCTGTAAGTAGATTAAAATTTTGTTCATTATAATACAAGAAGTCATGCATACATTTTTTATAATTATTATTTTATTTTATAAATTATTGCAATGTTCTTTTTTATAGATGGTTCAAAAATGGCAAGAATGGAAACAATGGGAACTTTGGCAACAGCAATTTCAGCAGTGGCAACAACAGGTATTTTTTATATATCTACTGGATGTTTCTGTTATTGTACATCACTTAATTAATCAAAAAATTAGAACATTGAGAATTTTTTTTTTTTGTTTTTTTTTAATTACATATGGTTTTCAATATACCAATCATGAAATATTATATATTTTTATATTCTTATAAAGGTAGCCTCTTTAGCAAAAATTCCATATGAGAACTTACATAATTAACTATATATTAAGAATTGATCACTTTCACATTATATAAAATTAACTAACTTATTTATTAGTTAATTATTTATATTAAAAAATGACAGGTTGATAACAACTTTTGGACTAGTATTTTAAAAGATATTAACATTTATATCTTGGTTAAAGGAAGACTGCGTCCAAGAAATGTCAAATGATAAAAATAACATCACCCACAACTCACCACCAGCTATTACATTAATTTGTTAATAACTATATATATATATTTAATTTTAGTTAATATTATTTCATTGTTAATTTATTTGTAGACTGCACAAATTGCTGCTACTACAGGGCAACCACCGCCTCCTCCAATTCCACAAAGTCAACCATTGCAGCCTCCTCAACTACCTTCAGTTTCAATTCATCAACCATTATCATTTTACCAACAAGTACCTACTATACAATCAACTAGTGAGCCTTTACAGGTAAAAGTATAGCTTTGAGTTAAATTTAGACTACATATTGTAAGTAAAGTTACATCTTCATTTATAACACCTACTAAATTAAATCAACTATGATAAGAGACAAGTTAATCATTATAATATCTGATTCATTCATTCCATAATTCATAATTTTCAGATGAAACGTAGTTTAGAACCAGGATTGCAAACAGTAGAAAAAAAATTTAAAACAGATGATTCCAAAAACAAAAAAGATCAAGAATTAAATAATGAAACTGAGGCTTTTGAAGAGCAATTTAAGTCATGGGAAGAGCAGTTCCTTAAATGGAAAGAACAGAATAAAAATCATCCTGATAAAGTAAAATTATTCAGTTTAATAAATAATAAGACTAATCCAGATATTCTAAATAAATAGTTTATTAATTTATTAGATACAATATCAAGAATATGAAAAAAAATGGTTGAATTGGCGTGATCAATTAAAACAAAAATGTGATTTATTGAAAAAAAAGAAGGAAGCCAAATTAGCTGAAAAAAAAGTAAACAATTTCATTCCTTAACTTATTCTAACAAATTTATATTAAAACTAGATAATTGTTTTAATATTATGACTGTAACATTTAATTTGAGTAAAAACAATTATTGTATGCTAAGTACATAGATTAAGCGTTCTATATTTTCAAATGAACTTCTTTGTATTTGTCAGAATACTCAGTAAGTTTATGATGATCATAACAAGGAATGGCTCTAATATTTAGAAATTATTTAGTATTCAGCTAATATTTCTAGAGTAATTTATATTTGACTATTCGGTCAAATAAAATTAGAATAGTTTAAAATAGTTATAAAATGTAAATTAAATTTGAGATTATTTTTCCTATTTTTTTTTAATAGCCTATAGCTTTTATATAGGGTGATGTGTTTATCATATTTTATTTTTACATTTTTAGTTACGTATTTTCCCTATTTATTAGTTATTAATTACTTTTTAGTATCATCCCTTATAACCTATTCGGATATCAACCTAATTTATTTAAATGGTAACAAACATATTTAATCTGTTTATAAAATATTATAAAAGACAGGTTGATAACAACTTTTTTACGGGTACTTCAGAAGTTATGAAAATTTTAATTTATAGGCTAGTGGGTGCACTTTCTTTATTATTAGATATTTCTCACCTACACTCTTCTTTCATAAGTTTTTGAAGTACTGGTTCAAAAGTTGTTATAGACCCATCATTTTCTATTTTATCTTAAATATTTATGTTTCCATTTAGAAAATTTAAGTCAACACTCATATAATTTATGAAGAAAAGACCAACATGCTTAATATTGTATTTATTTTGCTAATAATTGAGTTACTAATGATAAATGAATCATAATTATATATACTTATTCAAATCTAGTCAATATTTAATAATCAATTTTATAAATAAATATAATAGTGATTGTAAAATATTATGAACGAAATAATACCAAAAATTTTACACAAAATATTACTGAATATTTGAGTATAAACAGCAAATAATATCAACTTAAAGAAATATTTGGATTTAGGTACATTGAGAAAAAAAAATTTAGCTATTCGATTTTTCCAAATTTACTGATTACTATCATCAATCATAACACAAACGTTAATGTATAATCTATATTTATAATTTTATCTATATCTTTTTTAATAATTAATAATAATTTTAAAAATATGACTTATTTTATTTGATAGCCAAACATACAACACGTTTTTTTTTTTTTGTTTTTTACATTAAACGTGTATGTGTAGTGTTTGTACTTAAATTTAAAAATGCATAATAAGTACAAATGCATTGGTAAGAAGCATTTATTAACTGTGTCATGCTTACGACAGATCAAATTTCAGTAATATGAATATTGCAATAGATGATGACTGCAATTTACCATATATTAACATAATAACATTATTAAAACAAATATAAAATGACAACGAAATGTTTAAAAAACAACTAATTTAACTTAAGAAAGTAATATAAAATAACAAAACTGATATTTGTGATATTATATATAAACTGACAAATATGGACTAATATCACTAATTTTCTAATTAAATAGTTGATACAATGTTTGAGTAGAACATCCGTTAAATAAAAAAAAAAAGTCCTGCAATGCAAAACCTGTCAATTATTTAATCATACACAAAATTACTGCCTCAAAACACACCAGTGTATATTAAATTAGTATATAACACAAGTCTATAGACTGTTCTAAGTATGAAAAACTAAAGGAAGTGTGATAACTGTAGCAAAAGTCATACAGCTAACTGGAAAGGCTACTCAGCCTATAAAGTATGAGTATTAAAAGCTAGTACTTTAAAAATAATTGCTGTTCAATGTGTACAGACAAATAAACTTTCACACGTGAAGAAAAGCATACATTCGTTCAAGAAAGACAGTGGTAATGTTATCACAAAAACAAGAGTATTAAAAAACTTGTAATAGCTCAGTGATATATTGTTAGCATTGGACAATTTTATGCAACACATAATATATATATAATATATTATGTACAATTTCCCTGTTTATAAAAGTTTGGAGACACTTCACAGAAAGCTCCCTCCATCACTATTTATTATACCTTTTCTTAGCACTATATATATAATGTTAAGTTAAGTTTGTTAACATTTTTAATTAAGACCTATAGTTCGTCTTAAATTAATACTTTGAAAAGAGAAAGAAAATTTTATTTTATTTTATAATCTTTGTAATTTATGTAAATGTACTTTTTTGTATAAGAAGTATTTTTTTTTATTGATCATACTTTTTTTTTGTCTTGTTATGTAGAAAGAAGAATTACAAGTTAAGGAAAATCAAGCACAGTCTCAACAAAGTCCATTTTACAATTCAGGCCTATCGAGTTCTGCTCTTCCAAATAATACTACTAACATATCACAACCTTTGGTAATTTTTATTTTAACTATAAATTTACTTTTAAAGTGAATTAATTGACAAGTTAACTGTAATAAGGGTCTTATGAATTTTAATAAAATATTTGTTAAATGTAATTTTTAATGTAAAGCAAAAAATAATTATTTAAAATGGTAAAAATTTCGTTTTACAGGCAGCTAGCTTAATAGTACAATCATCGCTAAATCAAATTCCTGGTTTAGACTTGGTTAGCAATAATGATAACAGATCTCAATCATTTCCAAATGTATCAAAAATTTTACCTCACCAACAAGGACCAATTCAAACACCTGATGATAAACCATTCAATTTCCCTAAACAAAATGCACCAACAACTAAGTCACAATCATTGAATATACCTTTTAATACTAATGTTCCTCCTGTTAATTCGTATTCAAATAATCCTCCTAAATGGCCAAGCTATAATAGCTCTCAACCTTTCTATAGCCAGAAACAACCAAATATTGATAGTAATCCTTTGTCCAAATTTAACTCTGATATTGATCCTCGCCCAGCTTATAGTGGTGGTCCACATGATGGGAACTACAATATTCATAATAATTCCATTACAAATGTCAGAAGATCATCAGTTTTACCATTTACAAAACCTTCAGAAATTAATAATTCAAATTTAAATATTATCCCAGATAGTTCAGTATATAACAAAAATAATGATGAGTACAACTCATCTTACAGTAACCGTCCTCCCAATTTTAGTGGATTTAATACAGTCAATTCCAATTTTAATAAACCTGCAGAAATTTCTAACATATCTTATCCTTACAATAAAAAATCTGTAGCACCTTCATCTCATTCTAAGCCTCCATCATTACTAAGTTTGAATGTGAGCAAACCAATTTCAATGGGTATAGTCATAAAAGATATTTAATACTTGAATATGAATTATGATATATATGTTTATTTTTTTAGATGAATCTGATATTTTTCCTGAAAATAAAGATGTTGGGAACAATAGGTAATTATTATTTATGTAAATTTTATTGTAACCCTTTGAAAGGCTATTGCACTCTATGGGTGCATAACAAAAATTAATTTATAAACAATTGGTGCTATCAAATTTTCATTATATAATACTTCATAAAATTGTGTCTCTGCTATAAAGAGATAAAGCTTTTAAAATTTAAATTAATATTGTTTATAAATTAACTTGTAAAATAATAAAAGCAATTTTAATTAAAGTTATTAACCATGAAAAAATATATATACAGGATAATCAATTTTGGGCAAAGCACTTATTTTCTCAGAAACAATTACAAATTTTTGTAAAAACAAAAATTATTTGGTTCTAATAACTACAATATTATATAGTCAAATTATTTTATTTTCATCCCTTCAAGGTTAAAAAAAACGTTATTTTTTTTTTTAATATTTTTAATTTTAATTTGATAATATGAAAAAAATATATAACAAAATTTTTTCAGTTTTAAAATAGTTATTTTTTTTTTTTGAGCTTTTCTTACAAAAAAATTTTTATAGGTCAATAAAAGCTTTAGGGAAAGTGTAAGATTGTTCTATAAGCATTTTAATACAAAGAGTGGGTATGTAGTAGGAGTGTACTATGTGTTATAAATGTACACTAGTATTAGCTGTATCCACTCACACTACATACCCATATATAATCAATAATACTCCCAAAGTAAGCCAGTATTTTACATTTTAAATTGCATATTTTGATTATGAAATAACTTAGTATAATGTGAAATGTGTGGATTTATTAACATTTTGCCTTTTGTTACTCAGAAGATATGAAAGAAACTGGAATATCACTGAAGAAGAAGAAAATCCTGAAGATGAATACATGGAAGCTCACAAAAAATTCAGCTCAGAACCATATAATGATCCAAATGAAGAAGATGAATATTTCAATGATGAATACAATAATAAATATATAAATGACCAATACTCAAGAGGTAATCATAGTATAAACATAAAACAAGGTGATTATTTGAGACCTTCTAATCAAATGAATAAACCACAAATAACGAGAAATCAAGACTTAGATTATTCAAATAATCACCCAATATGGAATAGCCAAACTTTACCTAATGGAAGACAGATATCTAGACATAACGATGATTATTGTACGAGACAAGAAGGAAATAATAGATATTTAAATGAAACCTATCAAAAAGTACCTAATCATTTAAAAAATTCTAATGAAGAATTTATGACAGAACCTGTTTTAGAAAGTAATAAATTTTTGCCAAATAGAGAAAATTATGCGCCTCCTCCTAAAGGAAGTTATGGACCAAATAGAGGTAGGCGTTTTGATGATAATAGATCAAATTCTAAGATGGATTGGGGTGGAGATTTCAATACCCATAGTGATGAACAACAACAAATTAGTGATGATAATTCTCATCCAAAAGAAATTGTAAAACCATCATCCATTGAAGATATTCCTCCAATTGACCCTGTGAAATTATTTGATTATCGTCATTTACCAGCTTTGAAAGTGATACCAGGTATTTATAGTATAGTTTTCAATCATAGAAAAAATACATGTTCACACAATAATAACATAATTATACAATTGATAAGAAATTTGTTTTTTATGTTACCTTTTCAACCTTATTATTACTAATTTTAATTATTTTTTTACTTTTTTATTTATCAGATCTATTTTATAAAAAATAAAAGATAAAAATGTCTGTATATATTTTCAAAATAAAACAACAAAGATGTATTAATTTTTTTTTTTTTTTTTTCAGGACTATCAAAGGAAACCATAATACCTGTAAGAATTTATGATTATAAACATGGGGGTAAACGCAAGTTGCCTTGGCAAGATAGAGGTTTGTTTATTATTAATATGTAAATATTAAATTGAAAAAAAATTGTAATGATAAATATAACATTTTTATATACTATATAAAGCTTTGATCTTGAAGCCTTTTTTTAGAAACAAAAAAAATCTTAATATTGTAGAATTTCACTTCTTTAAACAGATTATTTATTAAATATCAAGCCTTATTTTTAACTTAAATCACACAATAATCGTTTTGTTATCATAACAATTATTGTTAAAAAAAGAGGCATAATTTGTATAAAATGACAACCAACCTAATTTTTATTATTAATGTATTGATTTTTAGTGGTACTAAGCTTCCCCTCTAACTATGTCACTACGTGATATAAATTTGGCCTAAGATACTCAATTAACAACAGGACAATGAATAGATAAAATAAAACTCAATTGTAAGAATCAATTACACTGTCTTAGAATAAAAAAAAAATATGAGATACTAACTCCCTTTATTCTATTTAGACATTTTGAGGGTGTTGATTTTGAAAATGATAATACTCATATTTTCAATATTTTTTATTGATTAAATTCAAATTGTTTTTAGCTATACTGTAGTATTTGTCATTCTCTACAAAAACTTTTTTTTAATACAGTTTAAGGTAGCCCTGCCATAAAAACAATGTTATTTTTATATCCATCTTTAATTGCCTATGAGTATTAAAAAATGTTTATAATCTATTAAAAACTGTATGTAGAAAAGAGTGAATACAAATATTTTTCAGACTATATTTCTTGTAAACATATTTGCTTGTTTAATGAAATAAAATGAGTTTTTATACATTTTTCTATTTTTCAGGTTTTAGCCGAAGAAATATTACCAACTCAAGAGATTTAAATGAAAAAGAAGGTACAATAAAAACTTGTCTATTTGAAGCTAAAAATATAAATATACTTATGTATTTGGTTTTATTTCAGAAATTTCATCTGAAAACCCCAATCTTGATAAAAATGATTTATTTACTAAATCGTTATTTGAATCGGATAGTAATTATTAATTTTTTTATTTTTACTAAACTATATTTTATTATTTTTATTTATTTATTTTTTTTTACAAGGCTTACAATCCAAATCAAAAGATTACACTTTACTTGATCAAAAAATAAATAATCTAGTCAGTAAAGTTATTAAAGACAAAAAAGTTGATGTGTTTACAGACAAACCTATAGTTAAAGACGAACAAAAGTTACACTTATCTGAAAAATTTACTGACATCTATCCACCTTCTCCTCCTAGAATATTGAAACCTAAAGAAGAGGTTCTTCAGAAACCAAAAAAGAATTTATTATTAATTGAAACTCTCCTTTGTCCTCCAGGTCGTTTGAATCGACCAGAAAAAATTGTTATTATTCTTCGAGGGCTACCTGGATCTGGAAAATCTCATATTGCTAAATTAATCAAAGTATTGATAACAATTTATTGCTAAATTTTTATACTGAAATTTATGAAATAAAAATTTTATTTTTAATATTAACTTTTATTTTTTAGGAAAAAGAAATATCAATGGGTGGTCAAGCTCCTAGAATATTATCTTTAGATGATTATTTTATGACTGAAGTAACTAAAATTGAAATTGACCCAGAAACAAACAAAAAAGTTGAAAAAAAAGTAATGCATTATATAACTCCATGTATATATATATATATTAAAATAATTAAGTTTATTTTAATTTTACTTTTCATAGGTTATGGAATATGAACATGATTCAGCAAATGAAAGTTTATATCGTACATCATTTATTAAAGCTTTTAAAAAAAAAGTTTTGGAAAATTACTTTTCATTTTATATTATAGATGCCATTAACAATAAAGTTACTTATTACAAAGATATACTCGATATTGCCAAAGTGAATGGTTTTACAGTAAGTAGAGTAGTTCATAATTAACTTTTTTAATTTTGAAATTCTGGAACTATATTTTGATAACTCAATTTTAGGGTTATGTTATTGAACTTGAATCTGATGTCGAATTGTGTATTAAAAATAATATCCACAAAAGAACCACTCAAGAAATTAATAATATTATGAGATCTTGGGTTCCTACTCCCCCAGATCAAATGTTACTAGATGTTAAATCTTTACTACAATCAAATGATGAGGTAAATCAATTAATACATTTTTATAAATTTCTTTTCAATAGGGTATACAAGTATTTTATTTTTAATTCTTAGGTTGAAATGGAAGATGTATCAGATATTGAAATAGATTTAGAGAAAAATGAAGGTTCAAATGTAACCAATACTGAAAAAGATCAGATTGAAAATAAAGACTGTGATTTTGAAGAAGAGGTAAATTTTGTCATTATTAATTTATTTCATAGTTCTGTCTTTTATTTGAAAAACACCTTGTTCATAATTTCAAAATTGTAATTTCTCTGTTTAATTCCTACAATTTAATTTCAAAAAAATAATATTTTTGTTGATATTTCATCAACATATTTAATCTTACAAATAAAATAAAAAATATGTTTCAATACAATTTACTTATTAAACTATGCAATTTAAAAAGCTCATTGACAATAAAATTAAGTGTACAAAGATCTTAATACTTATTTCTAATGAAATAGTATTTCATTAGAAATTAACTTTCAGTTAATGTGTTATGTATATCATGATTTATTTAAAAAGATTCCTTTTTTTTGAAACTGTAGGAATCCCAAATTATAAAAAATCACTGGTGTTTTGTATTATCCTTATATATTTTAAATATATTATTTTTCTATCCTAGCAGTCTAATACTATTTAAATTTTAATAACTCTTATAGTGAATAAAGTGTTTTCACTTTAAACATAATATTACAAATTTTAAATACTTATAGTTAAACCCTAAAAACAGATTATTTTATTTGTATATATGTGTTCAATTATTAATCTGTGGCGCGAATTTTAAAGTACAAATGGTACTTTTGATACTAATGATGATTGAAGCACTATTTTAATTTATGGTGTTTTGCCAATTATTAAAAATTTAAACTTTAGTATTATGTTAACCTATTTGCAATTACTCTATAACCACAAAATCAATTGCTAAAAATCCATAAAAAAATATTTTGAAATTTGTTCATCTAAATTTATTAGTTTTGGTAATTACAATTCTTACAAAATTGTATTTTTAAATATTAGGGTAATTGATGCATTTTGACAGCTTCATTTCTCTTAAATTGATAATATTGAAGAAAAAGTAGTGTCTTAACTATATTTTATTATCAACTTATAAATTATCAAGTATTATTTAGATACACTCTTTATACTATTAAAAAGTATTAACTTAATTTTGTTAAATGACAAAATGTTTAACTAGCTTACCTATTAAAAAACAAATAGTCATTGAAATTTTCGATACAGTCTAAAAATGTTTAATGATTATAATTCCAAGATGATCATATGTAAGTTAAAAAAAATGTTGAATATTTTTATTTTAGGAAAAAATGAATGGTCAACAATCAATTACCCTGATTTTTATACATTATTGTGTAGCGTTTCCCTTACTGTTCTGTTAAAAATAATTTTTCTAAAAAAATGTTGTAATAATTTACTATTGAAAGTAATACTGTATATTTGTTTGTGACAATAAAAACCATTACTGAAAATATTTTCAATATATGAAAATATTATATTGTATCATTTACAGTTTTTATCAATGTCAGCTTAAATTTTGATCTCGTGAAGTATGAAAATTAAATAAAAACATTTTAATTTGATATAACATGTATTGCATATGTCCACCTCACTTTATAAATTTTATGACTCACATGAGTTCACAAATGAGTTACCGCCGTTTATTTATCCACAGATTTTATCAATTAATTTATAAAAATATCTGTATGTTTTAAAGAGCTCAACTATTATTATACATGAATATTAATTAGTGGGAATTTATTTTTAAGAGAATATATATTTAATAATTTAAGTTTAGTAACAAGTGTCTTTCATAGTCAAATGTCATATTCTGCTATTCTATTTTTCGAATACTAATGTTTCAACAGGATGTAGATCTGATGAAGTTATTATCTTGCAAATGGGTTGATAATATACCACAAGAAGAAAAGATGAGTATGTTTTTCTATATTTTATTGTTAATTTTATTTTATTTATATTAAAATAATGGCTACAACTATCCTAATTATATTATTATGTTTAAATTACTTACTTTGAATATATTACTTTTAGACAGACTAGATGGACTGCGTAAGAAAAAACCAGAGAACTCTATTAAAGAATGGTTACAGATTCCTGAAACTGAGTATGTTACTACTGAACATGATCCTAAAGATGGAAAAAAAAGGGTAATGTTGTTATAAATAAGTACACTTTATTAGAGTTGTAACTAGAGACTGAACGAATTTTTATAAAATAAATCTCTAGTTATTAAGAATCATCAACAATATCAATATTGCGGACATTTTTTACTTTTTAACAAAAACAATTTTTTTTAAATATTGTCATTCATTCCAAAAAAAATTACTTTACTATTTCAACCAATACATTTTTAGTAACTTAAAAATATTTGAGTATATCATAACAGATGTTAATTAAAATTATTATTTTAACTATTTATTATCTATAAATAACAAAAAAGTAGAATTATCAAATGTCTAAATATTGTTTTTTTTTAAACATTGCTGAAAATTTACTACAATATCGATTTTCAAAATAAATTATTCCCAAATTCTCCTAGCTATGTTTAAAAACTGTAAACTTGAATTGTAGTACTTATTTTTAAATGTTCTAACACACATATACCAGCCATTTGATTTCTCTTAAAATAATAATTAAATTAAGGGAAAAAAAAATGTTGGTAATTTTTTATACCATTATTGTATTATTTTGTGAGTAATTGAGTAGTTTAAGATAGACCAATTGGTCTGTATATTTGATTAGTCTATAAAATTGACTAGTCGATTATTACTTTTCAAATAATACTTTAGAATTTATTTATTTTTTTAAATATATGTAATAGTGTGGTAATATATTAGTGTCTGATGATAAAAATAACATTATCCACACTTCACATTAACTTTATATTTAAATCAGTTTTAACTTATGCAATAATGAATCAAAAGTCGTTATCGATTAGTGATTTTCATAGCTGTTTTTTAGTTTCATATATTTCTTAATTTATCAACTACTAAATACTATTTTAATTCATCCCTTATTCGTTGTAAGGTTCACAATTTTATTTTTTTAACAGCACATATTTAACTAGTTTATAAAATAAAAAATAATCTAACTTAGTAAACAACTTTTGATCTATTATATTATAATATATAATATAATATTTTATAGTTAAATTTTATAAAACTTTCAAATTTGTAAAAATTTAAATTTTTTCATGTTTAATTTATAGTATGAAACAGGAGTTTTTATTTATAGATATGTATTTTAGTTTGTGGGAAATTTTGTAGTATTGTTTTTAAAGTAATGAAAAAGATAAGTTTTCTCAATATCGTACTTAAATGTTGTTTTTATTACTTATAATAATTATCAAGAAGTATTAATAATTGAAATAGTATTTATTTTGTTTGAATAATAAGTAATTAGTAAAGTGTTTTTTTTTTTTATGTTATTAAATGAACTAACAAAAGTTATTATAAGTATGAAAGTATTAAAATTTAAAATTTTCTCTAATAGGTCAGATGGGCTGATATTGAAGAACAACGTGAACAAGAAAAAATTCGTGCCATAGGTTTTGTTGTTGGTCAAACAGATTGGAACCGTATGTTAGGTCAAGATCAAGGAGAAAGCAAACTAACACAAACTAAATATATTTGACTGTCTTAAAATTTTTCAGATTTATTTTTATTTATGATTAATATGTACATAGATAAATAATATTTAATTTGTTCATACATATTAGAATTTAATGACACCCTAATAGGTTTTTAATTATTTTTATCATACTTAAATAATCCGATAAACATGTAAAATCTCACTGTATGTGTTTCTTATAACAACATAGTAATTTGAAGACTGTGAGAAACAAGCTAAATTTTATGTGCTGTTAATATTTATTTGGTAAGCATTCTCTGTTATTGTTTAATTAACCAAATACTTAATTTTTTTTATATCTTATAAAATTACTTTCCGAATTTGTAACATATATACTATTAGCAGTAGTTACTGAATGAATATTCTCAGTTATTGCTGCCTCATTGCGCGGTATAGCTGGTGGCGTGGTTGTGCGTGTCATAACTACTGGTCCTTGTTGTTTGTTATCATCCAGCGATCTCTATAAAAAAAATTATTTTAGTATTTATTAAAAACAAAAATCATTTTTGTTTGTTCTTTCTTCTTAAATACCTGTAACATGTTTAAGAAGAAAAGAAACGCAAGCAGTGCTAATGCAGATGATGTTGATGTTGATGTTAAACGTCCCGTATTTCTGTACCTTTTCCTTTAAAAAAATGTGTCTCAAAATATAGAAAATAAATTTTTATTATACAACAATATTTACCGTATTTGAAATGAGCGCTCTATTGCAAATGACTGATTAGTGTTATTTACATTATGGATACTATTATTCAATTTAATAACGTTAGTTGCCATGTTCATTTTATTAATAGTATGTATTTAATCTAAGTATTGCTTAATATTGTTTGTTTCAGAGAAAGATTATTGAACAATATTTAGATCCTAGTGAATACCTGTCACGACGATGGGTCCAAAAAATCTGCTTAACCGACTTCAAGCATGAATCTTATACTTATCGTCATTATCAGTTAACACCACTTACTGTGGTAAACGATCCATAATGATATTATTAGCATAAATTATGTTCCAGTATTGTGAACATTAAGTTCATATGCACAGTTCTAAGTCTAAATAATAATTATAGCACAATTTTACCGTTTTTATATAAATAATAGTGTTTACTCTTGTTTTATATATGTACATATATATAAATATTATTTTGTATAGTCGGTAATATGTTTTTCTTATAATTTATATATATATGTGTTTCAAATAAAAATGATAATTGTTTTGTTTTATTTTTGTTTTATTCTTTTATCTCGAAAGAATAGTACAAGTATTCAAACTGAACACCATACACCCAAAGAAAAACCTCAATCAATTTTGATAGAGAAATTTTATCAAGGGTTTATGATAATGTTTTATTAATACGAACAAAATTACTATTCTTATAAATAATTATTGTTCAAGACAAGAAAAAAAATTATCATATTGATAAATATATCATAGATTCAATAGTAATGATATATTTATCAAATTGAACAATGAATTTATTATATAGATCGAGGTTTTTCTCTGGGTGTAAGATTATCTGAAAAAAAATTTGATAAAAATTACCAATTAAAGTTTCTCTCTCCTATACCTTCAGTTGTTCTTAATAATTTAAAATAAATTTTGAAATATCTTAAATAAGAGTACCTTGAATTAGATGCTTCATTTCGTTTTTAGCAAGACACTTAAACAAATCCTTATAATTAAAAAATGTTAAAAAAAATTCGAAACATTTTAGATAAAAATATAAAGTTATCAGTGTGATTGTTAATTTCCGTAGAACACGAAAAATTCAGTAAAGGCGACAGCCTCTCGTTCGTTAAATAAATAACGTAATAGGTATTCAATAATATATATAGCATTCGGATAAATATTAGTGATTAATACATTAAGACAATATATTTTTTTTTTTTTAATATAGCAGTTTATTTAATATATATATACATATAATTATAATAATCATACGAACAGTTTCCTTGAGTAAGTGGTAAACCGCCATTACACATGCGATCAACCTGTTGTCAAGTAGAAGTAGCAGTGTCGTAGCCATCATTCAGCTGTAGAAATTGAGTCCACCTTGCGACCGCGTCAATGATATTTCTATTCTAAAACCTATATACATAACAAAACATAGTCTAACAACTATTATTGTCAATGAATACAATTTTAAGTAATTGAATAAAACTAAATTTTTGACAAACCTAATACAGAGTAATTGATTAAGAATAAAACCCATTTTCTCAAAAATATTTGCAATATTTGTAAAGGAAAATATTGCTTGATTCATAAACTACAATAATATATAGTAAAATAATTTTTTTTCATCCCTAATAAAAAACCTAAACTTTAATTCAATTAGACACTTGTTTCTTTCAAAGTACTTTCAAAGAATTATAATTATTATAACAATTTTATTTATACATTCCATCATTAATTTGGTTTTCATATACCGAGGACAACAATAATCTGTTACATCTGAATTATGGTTATTTATTTTTACTATCCTATTGACAAGATATGATAACGAGTTTCGTTAAAAATTTGTTTATGTGACAATATAAGGAAATGACGACTATTATATGTAAATCATCAAAATGTCAATAGAAAATTCAATAAATTTTAACAAACAATAGCAAACATTTAATCAATTAAAAAATATAAGTATACATTTTTTTTATCCTATCATTAAACTAAAACTAGGGATTCCCATTAAAGAAAATTAAACTTTAGGTTTCTTAACCCTAAAGAGATGAAAAAAAACATTATTATTACATGTAAATGTAGTTTTTTTTTTTAAATTAACCATTTTATTCCTTTACGAAAATTTTCAATTGTTTCCAAGTAAAATTGAGTCTTTTCCTTTTTTTGATCACTGTATAACTATTTTTTTTTTAATTTAAAATAAGGATGAAAGTGTGTAATATTAATTTATATATATATCAATATTTTGGGTTACACTCCTAATATTATCTAATTTCAGGAGAAAAAATACTTGTATGAAATACTAATTTAAATATTAATATTAATGTAAGTAATTAAATTATATATTATATTACAAACTTAAAATGCTTCTTAAGATAATTTTTAGAAGTAAAATGTAATATCATCTTATTAATATATCAAAAATGTATAGGAATTTATATCGTGTATATAAGAAACAACTGTGAATTCAATCATTTAAATTATAGAGATGATTTTTCGTATTTTAAGATTATAGAGAAAATTTTATAGTGCTTAGGCAATTTTTGAAAATTGAAACGAAATATAATAAGATAGCTGTCTTCAATGTAATTGTACATAGTCTACCCAAAAATTTAATGTAAGTTTCAAAATTTACTAAATAATTCGACTTGCTTTTTTAATGTAACTCTTCTTCTTGAAAAAATAGTTTAACAACTTGAAATTTACATAGAAAATAGAATTTTTATAATTAATTACATGAATTTGTTTTAAAATAACAAAAAATTGTAAGTTAAAAATTCATATTTTTAATATAAAAATGTAGACAACAAAAACAGAACGTTGCTTATATTTAAATCACCTTAATATTTAATTATGTATGGAATAATAATGTAATCAACACTTCTGAGAAATATCCATGTCATTTAATAGGTGATATCAACATTTATAGTGTTAAAAATAAATTTTAACTAGAAGTTTTGAAATATTTTAATTAACCACTACCATGTTAAGAATATTTAACTGATTTATTATACTTCTACATTTTCTTGAGTTATTATGTAACAAATCAATATTTTACCCAATACATTGTAAAAAGGTTTTTTTTTTTTTGAAAATGTCAAAGTTAACTACTAAAAATAAAAAAACTGACCAGGAACTTTGTCAAATTATAGCATCTTCCATTACTGAAATGGTTCGATCCAGTTTAAATCCAATGTTTCGACGACAATATTTTATCGCATTACAGGTAAAAAAGTATAATTTTATTTAAATTAGTAATAGAAAAATATCCCTCTTTGCAGTTACAATTTTAAATTATTTAAACACATAGGTTATCTAAGGTTCGATTCATATTGATATGAACCATATTTACACTAATTAATTAGTATAAAATATTAAAACTAAGTCATTAATTGTCAAATAATCAATGTATTTATTCTAATATACATTATAATATTACTTGAATTTAGTGAAATCCGACAGTAGACGTTTCTCCTAATCTTCAATACTTTTTTAAATCACTTTAATTTTTACCCATGTTATAATACTCTACAAATTTTACAGGTGACTAATTCAACTGATGCCCAAAAATTAATAGAAAATTACCTTTTTGATATTTTGAAAATAGAAAACTGTAAAATTTCAACAAATTATCAGGTAAAAATATAAAAATTTTTAAAATAAGTTGCATTAAGTATGGGTATAATTTTCAATCTTAGAATTATATTGCATAATAAAAACTTTGAATTTTCAATGGTAAGCGCTTATATAGAATTTTTGACATAGCATCATATAGGAAGGAAAATAAGTAATTCCATTTATAAAGTCCATTTATTTAGTCCCCTTTTACAAAAAAAAAATAATAGAAATGAGTTAGTTTTATTATAAATAGTTTTTAATGACAATTTAATAAAATTTAAGAGAAAAAGGCTTCCTTTTCTAAAAAAAAATATAGCTATCAATGATTTATGGTAACTAACTAAACTAAATTGACACTAACATAAAATTATAATGATTATTTAAATCGTTAAATATTTATTTCATACAAATTATAATTTCTTATTTTTCTTTTTTGATAAATTAGTTTTTAGAATAAATGTTGACATAGAAGTAACGAAATATACAACTATTATATAATTTGTTTTAATTTTTCTGTAAAAATTACAATATTAAATTATTGAATATTAATTTCATACTAAATATAATTACTATAAAAAGTATTTAAACATATATTATACGTATAATCATAAAACTTGTAATCACAATATGGAAATATGAACTGATGTAGCTTTTGGACTAATAAAGCAATTCCTTCTAAAATGTAAATACTGTTTACAGAATTTCAGTGAAGCGTTTGTACGTTAGTGATTTTAGTCACTATCCGATATCATCTTCACTTGTTCAAACTATGTCACGTTGTCAAACTGTGCCGCACCCTACTGTACTAGATTTTTTTTATTTATAATTTTTAACGATTAAAAACATATTTTTAAACAAAACTCACGAAATAAAAATAATGATATTTAACTTATGTTGTTTTTACAAGCTTTTACGATTAATAATTTAGTAATAAATTAATTTTTTTTGCATAATATATTAATTATCTATACAACAACATATTATGGAAAAAAGATAAACCAAAATACTATTAAATAAGCATTCCATTATAATTTTGAAAGAAATCTTAAAATCTTATGTAAATATAATGAATTGATAGTAAAAAATACTACAATTTTACCATATTTTCCGGCAAGACTTTAAATCATTTTTTATAGAAAAATTTTCAGGTGAATATTCAGTAAACTTAATGAATAAAATTCCTAAAAGTTTTGGTTTTGAAATATTTGCTTTCCAACATTACTATTTTTAACGGCATACGATACTCAATATAGATATTGAGCTATTGTGTAGTACCAGTTTTTAATGAAAGGGCCCATACAGGCAGAACCTGTTTAAGAGGAGTAAAGGACGAACATCTTGGGACTTAACTCGAATTTTATTAGCCTAGCTTTAATTAGTCACTAATTTATCACTTTATTATGGTAACGATAACTTTCATAGAGAAGCACATCTCAAGGTACCGTTCCGGGGCCTATGTATGTCTTATTCCGGCTCAGCATGCAAGAGTAATCTTCCTTTTTTTTTTCGCAACTGGAATAAGGGTTAATAACTAAAAACTTTTTAATTACAAAATATTCCCTAGCATAATTTATTAAAAATTATATAATAAATTAAAATAAATAATATATAAATAAATTTAAAAATATACATAAAATAATAAGTCAGACTAATATAATACAAAATGCATTGTCATTAGAACAATAGGAATAAAAATATTAAATATTAACGCTCTGTAACGTTGCGTAGATTCAACAAAAAATAAATAAATAGTTTATCATTAGCTTGCAGTTTTGGTAGATTTAAAACGCTGAAGTGAAGTTGAAGGGACACGAGATCGTTACTTCTGATCGATATAGAACATTTACAGTGATAAATTTGATAAATTGAGAGGTTTCGCTGAAAAGTATCGATTTATTCGTAGAAACGCGTATGTTTCTCTATTATTTTAGAAGATTTGAACGTACTTAGACCTCATTACAAGCCAAGTACAGTTGGCGACAGTCTTCTCCAGACCGTCCGCGTCTGCCGGCATCGTAATAAACTTCAAAAGGTGCATTGCTTGTTTTTTGCAGTATATAGCTGGTTGCGTACCTAAAATTTATTATAATTTAAAATTTTGATAAACAAATGTATATCGTGTGTATATGGTTAATGAAACTTACGTTCCGAGTTGACAGTATATGGCACTTGAGCTTCCTGCTTCACCCGCGCATTCTTTGGTGGCTTCGCACACAAACTTTTGAGCGCACACATCATCAGAGGTGGCCATTGTCTTAACATAACCCTATGAACAAAATAAAAAAATATTTTGTTTTGTTAATCAATAAGACTTTTAATTGTATGTTTAACCTAAACTTACTTTTAAAAAGGAAATACTGGCTACGGCTGCGTCTGACATCGAATCCTTCTTTCCCATAGATCTAGCGTGTAGAGATCTGTGGCTAAAAGAGGTTCTTAAAGCGTCCAAAAGATTCATGACAATGTTGATGAACTATAAAATCGTAACAAATAAAGTTTTAAACTAAAAATTAAAACATTTTTATCAGATTCGAAAGCAATTTTATGCTCAAAGCGACAAGATGGATGCAAAGGATGGTAATAGTTTAAGCGAGTGTAGATTTCTTACCTCTCCAGCTTGCTTAGCCATGGTGGCTACTTGATCTGGATCCCTGATGCCGAGTACTGTCGGTAAAACCGCCGTCAATACACCCTACGTACCGTGCCACCACATACCAATTTATTAAATCATATTTTTATATAACAAAAAAAAAGCTTGTGTGTTGGATACTAAGAACCGGGGAAATTTTTATTTTATAATTTAATTTGCAATTAAATATATACTACACCTGATATTCTTTACGAAAAATGTATCTACTAAACAACAGATAAGCAAAAGAAGTAAATAATCAATTACCTTACATAATAAAAGCAAACGTTAAATACATAATGTTTTAATTTGTAAGATACTACAATAGATTTATTAACTACATTTGTAAAGTATCATTATTCTAAATTATTTTTAAAATATAACAAACATTCCAAAAAATTAAAAATATATATATTTTTCTGATCCATCATTTAGACTGTAAGAAATATCTCGGGTTAAAACTTATTGACTGAAGAATATTATGTGAATCATATTAATTATACATTATTAAAATAGACCGTGTACTATATTACTATAAAACTATGAAACTGTATGATTTACTATTAAAAGTTAATTAGTCTATTTCAAAAAAAAAAAAAAAACTAATTACATTTTTTATGTGTTTTATAAATTTGAGTTATAAAAATACTATAGTGATAGAGAATAGAAGATGTATAAACAATTTTGAGTGTTTTCAAATGTCCCCGGTCCGCATTTATAATCTAAGTGAAAACGATCCAATAATGTTTATCTTATGAAAATATAAAAGATTGCATTGTAATTTTTGACAAACATTTTTTCATTGCTTCTTAATTGTCAATTTTGTTTAAACAGAAAAACACATATTTAGTTTCAAATATGTTTTTCTATGATAATTAACTACCAACTGGTGAAAAAACGATTTAAAGTTTCATTAGTATTACTAAAACCGAAAGAATTAAACTGTAAAAATAAAAGTTTCTATTTTTATTTATTTTAATTAATTTTTTTAAGTAAAAATTGGATCGTCATCAGCATTTGTTTTGTGTAATAAAATTGTATATACATAAAAAATTTATACAAGGTTACAATGATTCATATAATATTACCTGCATCGGGGAAGAATTGTCGACCTTATCGATTCCATCACCGCCCATAATGTTGCCGCCACTTAAGAATGTCGATAATAATTTTAAACCTGTGGCTACTATATTAGCCCATGGAGAGGTATGTACCATACCCTAAAAAGTATCATGGAAATGAAAATGAGAAATTATTTTTTCTTATAGTCTTATAAGAATATCAGGTAATAATCGCTTACTTGATCGTTGTCTACAACATCAGATTTGCTAGGTCCTACTTGAGATGCTGGGTTGAATAACATCTGCATGATCACTCCCAGAATATTGCTCCATGACATACCGGGCATACCTTGCTGAAATTTTAACGAAAAATTATAGAAATGCATATTAGACTAAAGGACTACCCGTAGAGGTGACGCCATACCGAAATGGAATTTGTCTGCACATCTTCCAGATCGTTGCGATCTTCCACTATTCCGCCATTTGCAGCGGTAGAGGCAGCGACTTTCTTGCTAGCATTTGGCTTTTCAACAAATTTCCTAGCGTCCTGTTCGGGCTGGTAGACTGGATAGTGTTGTGCTTGGTACACGGGATGCTGTTGTGATTCGTAGTGATATTGTGGCTGGGCTGATCGGTGTTCTAGCGGCTGTTGAGCTGAGGTACTGGGGTAGGTGGACGCGGGTGCTACAATTAGAGTTCCCATCAGGCACAGGAAGGCCCATCCTATGGCCTGTCTGTTGCTCATAATTTAATCTGTAAACATATGAATTTAATAAAAATTGGTTTTTTTCATTTCATTTTTTTATCGAAATAAAATATTTAATTGACACGTACGAAAATCTTAATATAATTTTTAATTGATATTTTAGCCATTGCAAAATGATGGTTCTACAGGAGCAAACAAAAAACGAAAAATAGAAAAACTCGAAGATGAAATCTCTGATGGTGAGTATTCAGATTAATTTAAGTAACGGTCCGCTGGTAGATAAATAATATGACAAGATACTGAAGATTTTAATTAAAATACTAAGTAAACTTTTTATTTTCACGTGTTAATTAAAACTATAAGAGCAAAATGGTAATAATTTTCTGACTTGTACTTTGATGTATATTTATGAATATATAAGTTTTATTCGCAGATAATATAAAAAAATTAGTTATAACTAATGATTTCCATGTGATATATACGTTATTGTATGCCGTTAGCTAAAATTTCACGCCGACTTATTTTTGTTCAGATAATAACACATGTCTGAAGCATTTCTGCAAACCAGTTTCAATAAAATGTGTATATACTTATTTCATACAAGCAGCTTTCTACAACATACTGTCAACGTGTTTTGTCATCTAACTATTTTCCTCAGAGGTCGAACACCTCGTATTGCATACTCAAGATTGATAGGTAACGGTCACGTCAATGACCCTGCCGCACCATTCATTCATATACTCGCTCCCTGGAATATTAATCGCTGGTGAACAGCAATTATTTATAAACCTCACGGTTAATTTTTCACCATTTGTGGCGATGAATTATTAACAAGTATTTGCGGATTTCAATATCCGATTACTATTTTTTTGGTTGAGGTATTTGAAAAATTAAACGATTTATAGTCTATGTTTAGTGTTGTCTATTGTGTCTTTACTTTTTACAATAGCGTTCGCTCACGTAGGGAGAAAAAATTGTGAAAGTAAAGAAAAACCATTTGCAAGAGAAAGGATAGGGAGCACTTGCTATACTACGAATATATTAAGTATTCTGATTAAGATTTAAAATTAGTTTGTTTAAATTAAATTACTTGTAAATATTGCGATATTATTTTAAACAATGTCAATTAACAAGTTTTAATAACGCCAATAAATGTAATAAGACAAATACTCGTTAGCAAATATTAAATTAGTGTAAATGTATTAACAAGTTCATTTAGTTTTCGAAAGTTGAATAAATTACTATAGATTTAAAAAAATTTAAATATGGTTATTTTTCAGTGAAAATTTCTCATGATTTTTTAATGTAATAATAAACGATATTTCCACAGGGAATGTTTATGATTTTTTTAAAATACATTTTTAATATATTCTATTATAACATGACAAATATATCATCAAAATACAGCGTACTTAAACATTTGGTATACAGTATTATGACATCGAAATAAATGATTTGTGTGTTGAAATAAAAAGTAATTCTGTTATTTTGATAAGGAAAAAAATCACAAAATTACGTATTTTTGAACGTAAAGACTCATTTATATTTAATTGCATTGTCTTGTACTTCATAATTATCGGTCAACTACTGTCTAGACATATCGCGCGTCTGTAAAAAGTAAGTATTACTATATAACATTTCGTATGTTTAAGTGTGTTTCATAATAAAAAAGAAAAAACGTCAGAAATCCAATTGTTTTAAAAGCAAAATGCATTATCAATATGCACATATCGGGTTATTGATCTCCTAGCGTTTCTTGCTCGAATGATCCACGAATGAAAGTACAAAGAGAAGAGAATCGACAAGGCTTATGTATGTCATGTAAATTGTGAATGAATCTCGATTTCTATGATAACGGAATGTGAAATGGCTTACTATTATTCATGTGATAGTATTAAAAAATTGAGTTCTTTCTAACAATGAAATTTCCTCAATTATTTTTATTTAAGATCGTTGTTTTAAAAAAATCAATCCTAATTAAAATTTTAATTAACAGTTTCCTAAATTTTACTATACGTGTATATTAATTAACTAAATAATTATTTTGAGAAAAAACTTTGTTAAATTTTTAGTTTTTTAATTTAATTGTTCTATTATATTATTCTTTTTTAATAGTTTTTTATTTAAATATTTTAAATCCCTGTTACTCGCAGTTAAAATAGTTACATAAAATATAATAATTGATTTTAATTCTAAAATTATTAGAAAAATCAATTTATAATTGAAATTTCCAATTTTTTAAATTTATTTTCATAATATATATTTGTATTAATAATTATCCCGAAATATTAGTTTAAGCATTTCTAACGTACACCCAGAGAAAAACCTCGATCTATATAATAAATTCATTGTTCAATTTGATAAATATATCATTACTATTGAATCAATGATATATTTATCAATATGATATTTTTTTTTCTTGTCTTGAACAATAATTATTTATAAGAATAGTTATTTTGTTCATATTAATAAAACATTATCATAAACCCTTGATAAAATTTCTCTTTCAATTTTGATTGAGGTTTTTCTTTGGGTGTACAGTATAATAATCAAATAATTTAACACGACTTAAATGATGTTCGAGTCTAAAAAAGTAATCAATAATCACTGCTATAATCATAAATCATAAATCTATAATCGATCACTTTCTAATAAACAAACATCCAATAAAAAACTACGATTCTCCATCTTTACCATTCATAAATAACAGCTGGTTAGAACAATGATTCATTGGACAAGTTTTGTGGTTGTGAAAATATATTACATTATTGAGGAAAAATAAATGTACAATATTTTGTGACAATTTAAAATATATAGAGAGAATTCTTGACATTTTAAATCTCGTGCAAATATAATTAAAATTATATTAACGCAAAATAGGTAGTATAAGAAATTTCTTTTTTTTTATTAATTAAATAAAAAAACTATACACTTCCAGTTCTTGAAATAAAATCGAAAGAAATTATTTGTATGGTGTTCAGTTTGTCTAATCCAAATGGTCGCACAACGGATCCTTGTAAAAAGGATCATAGATTCTAATGTATTCGTTTTAAGGTTAATTGAATAATGAACGCCTAATTATTATTACACGTTTGAACTCAATCGGGTCGAAAACCCGAAAAAATTACGCTTCCTGGTACAATTATCATCATTAAATTAATTATGCTATAAGATTCCGGAAGAGTACTGACCAAAAGTGGCCCACACCTAACCTTGACCACTCTGCCGCTGACGATGTCACGCACTCGCAGTCCGCAACCAAGTAACCCACATTTCTGTTCGACTAACACGACTCTCGGTTACTTTCGTTTGAATAATGCATACCTGTGCACGAGTAAAAGACTTTTCCGGTGCATTGTGTTTTATATTGTTTATAATCTCACTACAGCTTTAAAAACTTCACTGGCCTATATTTATGCTCGCATCTGACGTTCGCGCGGATCAACGGAATTTGTTCAATGAGAACTTGTAATGTTATCCTTTTCTCCATATTATTTATTTCATCAATATTCCGAAGACTATAAATACTCCAAAACTTTTACGCGCGTGTACCAATAAACCACAACAAATTCTAAATAACCATATTTTCATTTCCATACGAATTTCACTTTATAATTGAAACCGATACTTGTGCCTATGACACATAGCTGTTTGGGAGAAAGTAAGGTGAAATCATCTCGCACCGACCTCATCACATACGACGTTGCCATCATATTTCAAGTCAGACATATCGTTAAGCTGATATTCAATTGACATTTACTATTAATTTAAGACTTTACTACGGATTATGAAATTCCCCTTATACTTTGTTAAAGTATCTCGTAACTAAATTACATCAAATTAAAATCACTGATATAAACTGAATATGTACTAATACCAAATTCTGTTAAAAAAGTTATATTTAACCATTCGTTACTTTTAAATAAAATTTGTTCGTTAAGATTTCTAAAAGTATTTTTAATTAAAAATAAAACATTTTCAATATTTTTTAACTTTAACTAAAAAATGTATAGCAAATTATTACATGTATTTTTTTACAAGCAACATTTTATTTAAAAATTAACCAAGCTATTACTTAAGTATTATGTTAATAATAATTTAATTTTGACGACAAAAATTTAATTTAATACATAAGTTAATATATTTCTACTAGAATAGTAAAGCATGTTTTTGATTAATTATTTACCTGCTTTGAAATCTCTTAAATGTTGTTTTATAGGCTGTTTTTCTGATGATCACAACTGTGTTAAGTATACTTATGAAAAGACAAAATAATTAGCACGAATATTATATTAAGTATAAAATTTAGCGATGATCGTCTTCTTTTTCGGTGAGTTCTGATACGACTGACACAAGGTAAATGCCCCTGCATCGAATTCAACCGGTTCTCTCACTCTTGGCGGATCCCTCCTTGAACTTGTTCCGGCCTCGGCGGGTGACCCACATATTCGGCCATTACCATTTCTCCTCTTTGAAGCCATCAACTCCATCCACCAAGGAAAATACTGTATGACTTTACTCGCATACAGATAGTCAATAGAAACGTTTTTTTTTTTAATTCACAAAAACAATATTTAATTATTAACGTAATCGTAACATACAATAACTAGTATAAAAAAAATTACATCTTCAACCATTATATCTATTATCATCTTTAAATTGTAAAACGTCTAATGATCCATCCCAACGCATAGTATAGAGTCTCTAACGTATTATCTATAAGACGTAACAGTAGTTGTTTGGGGGTAAACTTAGAAGGTAAACAATGCCGAGAGATGATTCATGTAGGATCTACGATGTGAATCACACTCAAATAATATTATATAATGAGACGGATGTAAATTCAATTAGAAATATATAGTGAAAAAATGAGAATTAAATATAATCTTAATCCGTTTTAAATTTTATGTCAGAAATTAAAATTTAACTATAGTTGATATCCAGCCCGATAGATTTGAGGTAATTTTTAAAATTAGTATTAATTAATATTTGATTGTGATTACAATTACTGTCTTAAAACAACAACAAAATTAGCGCACAATTAAAGATCAATATTAGAGAATATATCCAAGAATTTTAAGAAAAAAAAAAAACAGTTTTTTTCTGACATCTAAGAAAATTTGGAATAAAATAACATAAGTATTTTAAAAATTGATACTATATATAAACACTGTTTTAGGTTGGTTAATGTACAGTAACCTCTTATTTTATATTATTACTAATATTATCGTTGAGTGTACTATACTTAATGATATAAAACTATCTATTAAATAGATATAATACCATTTTTATTTATACTCAATGACAATATGAAACAAATGAACACTGTTCTTCTGATATTTGGTAAAAATTATTGGAAACTAGTGATCCACTATGTTCAGTTGCCTCCAGGTTACTAAGTATACCTTGTTCATCCGCATCACGTGAAATAAATTGGTTTGCTTTTGGCGAAGTACTCCATAAATCTTAAAATAAACTTAAAATGGATATGGTATAGAAACTGGTAGCAATAAGGACTAACCACAACATACTTCAAGAAAACTGTTCAAGTTAAAAAAAAAAAAATAAAAGTTGAAGACATTCAAGCTCTTGATAGTAATATTAACCGAAATAATATTAGTATTCTTTCGGCATTTGCTAATTTCATAAACTCCGGAGATGATTTCCAATTACAATTGCAATATTATCTCAAAAAATAAATTCTGTTTTAATAGTTTATATTATGAAAGAAATAGTATTAACAAATTATTACGAGCTAATATTGCAATTTCAATTGGAAATCATTTAATAAGAATATAATTTTCATTATTTAATAATGTAAAAGTATGTTCCTATTTGATTTTTATTATCTTTTGATATATTTTTGAGCAAAATCAGTCTAGTAAGAACTGTGGATAGTGTATAATGAATCGAGTAAAATTGCACAAATAAAAAAAACAGCAGAGTAAAATCAATAGATTCTCAGCTACACATCAAAGCTAAAAATTACTATAGTTTATTTATTACAAATTAATCTTTGGTATTCTAAAATTTCATCTCTAATATATGATATACTTGGTAAGTTACTTGATTTTAAGGTTTAAGGATTGTTATTGTCACAGTAACAACTTATTATTTTTTTATATTACAATTTCAAAACTACAAATAAAATTTATAAATTGTAGAATCTTCAATTTTTTATGTATAAATTTACATAAACCAGGAAATTGCGCTAAGAAGTTCTTTTCGGTATTTTAACTAGCATAATAGTTATACAAACATTTGTCATGTTATATAAAATAACATAACAAATGAATAATATTTTTATGACATTGTTTTATATTCTAAGAAAGTTAAATAATAATAATAGTTTTGCGGAGCTATTATGAGGCATTCATTGGAACTTGTTCAATGGAGTACTTTGTTTCAGTGAAATATCTGCTTTTTTGTAATAATTTAATTAAATAAATTTTTCCTGTTTTTGAAATATCATTCAAATATTGTAACACCAAATATACAATTATACAATTCAGCTTTAAAACAATGGATCTAGAAACCAAATACTTGGTCCATTGTTTTACTTCTTTATTATAGTATTTAAGAGAAAGAAGTTTTTATGGTTAATAATATTGTAAAATATAATGTTAAACTAAATAACAATATGTATGTAATTTAAATATCTTAGTTATAAATGATTTTTCTCAATCAATAAAAATGCTATTTGAAGTACTCAATAAATGAGTACTTCTATATTTTATTTATTAAGAGAATTAACTATAGTAGTTATAACTACTGTCTTTCAGCACGTAATGATTTAAACTCTGGTGCTAATTTTAATTTAAAAATACCATAAAAAATAAAAATCAATACAGATTTTCAATTATTATTAACTTAAATGAAAACCATTATAAATAAGAAAAAATGAGTACAATCAAGATCAATTATTCCGATTAAGTTATTTTTCAATATTATTCAACGGCAAGGTGGTTTTCAAACAAGTTATATTAACCTTATAAGGCATTGAAGAATAATATTATCCGGTGCATATTATTTTGTTTCATTGAACTAGGGAAAGCGATGATAATGACTTTCTTCGTTTCAGACTAGTGTGCACGGGTATATAATAATGAATGGTTAACTTTTTTTTATGACAAATCGGAAATTCCTGCAGGAAAACCTGTCACAAGCCATTCATATTTTAACTTTCTTACCAGCATTCGTTTAGTAATATTGAACCATTGGATTACCCAGTATTAATACGACCAGTAAGATGCTGGAATAAAACAATTCAAATACATAACACGGTTGTGTGATAAGTCAGATAATAGTAACAGTGGTGATGTTAAAAAGTTACTACTGTCATTATTTTTACTGCATGTATGCAGTAAAAACGGTAATAACTATAGATTGTATGAGTTTGAATGTTTATGTTTACAAAATTAATGATAAAATATATTATTTAATAATATTTATTCAACATGACAAAATTTTCGATAATACGGATTTGCTATTACACACTATAAAATATAGATCATATAATTATGTTAATTAAATATAATGTAGTCAGAATATAAATCTATTCTATTTTGTGAAACATCCTTCTTCTTTTACTATGTATAATGTTTATAGCTTAACATTCCACTTTATTTTCTTTGGATAAAGCATTTTTTATTGAATTCTCATTTGGCAGTAGACTAGTTATACAATTAGCTGAGTCTAGCATTTCACTGATTACTCAGCCAACTAATATTCCTTCATTAAATTCAGTAATATTGACCGAATAACTTACGTAATTATATGTAGGTGTCAAATAATTCTCCTATTACCATAAAAAATTATATAAAAATATAATTCGCTATTGAAGTTAATAATTTTAATATGATTGTATGATAAGATAAAAACTTACCAAATGTCAATCAATAAATTTTAAAATGGTTTTAATTTAAAAAAAATTATTTTATAATAATTGGAAGTATATTATGTGGAGTATTTTTTTACTACATCCTTGAAATAGTATTTTCACTGTGAAACAATTTTTTGATTGACAGTTAATGACATGGCATTTTACAAACACTGGTTTTATAAGATGCATGGGGTCAGAACAACTTCCTCCTTCATAAGAGATCATTGAAAATATTACTGCTATCAGTAATGAAATTTTTAGAATAGTTTAGAATATTTTTAGAATAGTCGAATTTTAATTTTACTGCTATAACCGTAATATATGATTTTGTCCATCGACGCGTTAAAAACAATAAGACGCAACTAGTCGATAACTAGGTTGGTGTTAATTTCTTAATTATATCATTTTAAATATAGATATATACATTGTATAATTATGAAGCACCATAAATTGTAATTATTAAAAATATATATATTTATACATCTTTCTTTCTTTTCACTAGTATCTAAGTAAGTTAAACAAAGAATCAATTTAACTAATTTAAATTTTATCAGCTTTCAATTTTTTTAATACCGATTACTAAACAAACACTTATAATTTAATATTCTTAAATGACGTCATTTGAATTTTATTGTTCTTGTTGATTCACTCATTGACTAATCTTCACTTGGCATTTTCTTAGATGCATCATAAACTTCTTAACCAGGTGTATCCAACATGCATTTATGATTATTAAACACAATGTGTATCATATACATACTTCAAAGGCAATATTATTAATTATATTATTGTAATTTTATAGACGTTTGTCAATTACAATGTTTATGTGGTTAACTTTTTAATTTTAACTTCTTTAACCTTGTTTATCAGAAAGTCAATTAATTAAGGCTGTTAACTACTGCAATTGAAGTTTATAAATTCTATGAACTTAGAACTCGGTATATTTTGTAAATAAATTTAAAGGGCATAATTTGGAAATGTTGTTGAGCATGTACCTTGAGTAGCGTCGAGTTAAAATTTAAAAAATAAATAGATCATCGTAACAATAATTAGGGCATTTTCCACACTTGTTGACAATTATACATACATATTTTTATGCCAAACAATTTTACATATATTATCATGTGTAATATATACTCCGCTGCTGCTATCAACCTAGATTTAATAACTTGGTGTAGTGGCAACGATCATTCAGCATTACCGTTATGAAGCTGACCCACCTGTAAGCGCGTATGTCTTCAAACGAGCACCTGTAACACATTCCATTCCCGTCCTCTCATTTTCGCCGTCTCACTCGCTCGCCCAAACAAAACAAGTAACCGCCGTATGATAATAATTAGAGTGAGTGTGGTGTATTTAAGTAGTATCTTCATTCTTGAAGGAATCGCGTTGACCCAGAAGTTAAACACACGAGTACACATTTTATCAAAACTGCAAATTTTTTTCCTCCCATTTGACTTAACGTTTGAACACAAAACTCTC